TTTTATAAACATTGTCGACGTTAACAAATTTAAGATGGATTTGTATTTCAACTGAAGCTGCTGGAAAATTGATCAATATATATTTTTCTCTTTGTCACAAATGAATACTGTACGTTTATTAAACTAAGAATTAATTGGGAAAGTTTAAAATATAAAAAAAAAACATTTTACGCTCTCTATAATGGGTTTCTTTTCTTGAATTCCGAAAAATAATCGTTTTTGAAAGGGCGATTTCTCGAAAACCGCCAATAAAGGCAGCACTACGACACATTCGGAAAAAAAGCAAATATCCTTTTAGATATCGACTTCACTATAACATAACAGTAGCAGCACGTTTTGACTTGGCCAATTTATAATACCAAACATAGCGTATATCTCAATTATTTGAATAGCGTAGATGTCACATATTTTAAAAAGGTTTGGTATTTCAAATAAACTCACCTAATATCTATATATCTATCTTCCGTTTTCTTACTTTTCAAACACCGATACTGTGTGTTAAAATTAAACTTGGAATAAGATGCAAATTGTATGAAAAAAGTGAAAAATGTCTTACAACCTATATATAATTTTTTCAATTTCCACAAGCATGCCGTTTTTGGAGTGACGATTCTCGGACAATGGCCAATAAAGGCAGCAATACGACACTTTTGGAGAATAGCAGATACGTTAAAGATTTCGATTTCACCAAACCAGAACAGTAGCAGCACGTTTTGATCTGGCCATATTTAATACTAAACATAGCATATCATTTTCAATTTTATCAACTATGTATATGTAACATATTTAAAACGGTTAAGTATTTCAACTGAATTTCATCAAACACTTTTCTCTCTTGGTCATACATCAAAACTGTATGTTCATTAAACTTGGAATTATTGTGCAAATCCTAAAATGCCAAAAAATGATTTTGACGCCCTCTTGTGGATTATTTTCGGAATTTCGAAAAATTATCGTTTTTGAAAGGGTGATTTCAAAAACCGCCAATAAAGGCATCACTACGACACATTCGGTAGTAAAGCAGATACCTTTATAGATATGATTTCATTATGTCAGAACAGTAGCAGCATGTTTTGACTTGGCCATATATAATACCAAACATAGTGTGTATTCAAAAAGTTATAAACAATGCAGACGTAACATATTCAAAAAACGTTTGGTATTTCAACTAAATTTACTAGATAAATTATCAAACATCTTTTTCTCTTGGACATACATATATACTGTACGTCCATTGAACTTGGAATGAGTTGCGGAAAGTATGAAATAACGGAAAATCATGTTTCGCCTTCTTGTTGATTATTTTTAAATTTTCAAAAAATTATCGTTTTTGAAATAGCGATTTCTCGAAAACCACCAATAAAGGCAGCACTACGACACATTTGGAATGAAGCAGATACCTTATAGATTCGATTTTATTATGTCAGAACAGTAGCAGCACGTTTTGACTTGGCCATATATAATACCAAACATAGCGTATAATTTTCAATTTTATCAACTATGTAGATGTAACATATTTAAAAACGGTTAGGTATTTCAACTTAATTTACTGGATAATTCATCAAACACTTTTCTCTCTTGGTCATACATCAAACCTGTATGTTCATTAAACTTGGAATAAGACGGCGAATCCTAAAATAACAAAAAATGATTTGACGCCCTCTCGTGGATTTTTTTCGAAGTTTTTAAAAAAATATCGTTTTTGAAAGGGCGATTTCTCAAAAACCGCCAATAAAGGCAGCACTACGACACATTCGGAGTAAAGCAGATACCTTATAAATTTGATTTCATTATGTCAGAACTGTATCAGCACGTTTTGACTTGGCCATATATAATACCAAACATAGCGTGTATTCAAACTTTTATAAACAATGCAGACGTAACATATTTAAAAACGGTTAGGTATTTCAACTTAATTTACTGGATAATTCATCAAACACTTTTCTCTCTTGGTCATACATCAAAACTGTATGTTCATTAAACTTGGAATTATTGTGCAAATCCTAAAATGCCAAAAAATGATTTGACGCCCTCTTGTGGATTATTTTCGGAATTTCGAAAAATTATCGTTTTTGAAAGGGTGATTTCTCAAAAACCGCCAATAAAGGCATCACTACGACACATTCGGAGTAAAGCAGATACCTTATAGATATGATTTCATTATGTCAGAACAGTAGCAGCACGTTGTGACTTGGTCATATATAATACCAAACATAGCGTGTATTTAAACTTTTATAAACAATGCAGACGTAAGATATTTAAAAACGGTTTGGTATTTTAATTAACTAAATTTTCCAGATAATTTATCAAACATCTTTTTCTCTTGGACATACATATATACTATTCGTTCATTAAACTTGGAATAAGTTGCGGAAAGTATAAAATACCAAAAAGCATTTTACGTCCTTTCGTGGATTATTTTCAAAATTTCAAAAAATTATCGTTATTGAAATAGCGATTTCTCGAAAACCGCCAATAAAGGCAGCATTACGACACATTAATGAACGCACAGTTGTGATATATGGCCAAGAGAGAAAAGTATTTGATGAATTATCCAGTAAATTTAGTTGAAATACCAAACCGTTTTTAAATATGTTACATCTACATAGTTAATAAAATTGAAAATTATATGCTATGTTTGTATCATATCATGTATATCATGTATTGCCAAGTTAAAACGTGCTGCTACTGTTCTGACATATTAAAATCGAATCTATAGGGTATCTGCTTTTTCTTCGAATGTGTCGTAGTGCTGCCTTTATTGGCGGTTTTTGAGAAATCGCCCTTTCGAAAACGATAATTTTGTGAAATTTATCGAAGAATCCACAAGAGGGCGTAAATTTTTTTTCAGTATTCCAGACTTTACTCAACTTATTCTAAGTTTAATGAAGTGCATTATTGTTGTGTGACAAAGAGAAAAATATCTTCTTTGATGAACTATCCAGTAAATTTAGTTGAAATACAAAATCAGTTTCAAATTTGTTGTATAAACATTGTTTTAAAAATTGAAGAATATACGCTATTTTTAGTATTATATATGGTCAAGTCAAAACGTGCTGAGACTGTTCTGACATATTGAAATCGAATCTTTGAGGTTTCTACTTTTCACCAATGGTGTTGCAATGCTGCCTTTATTGGAGGTTTTCATGAAACGACCATGTTACACGACGAAAATTCAGTCATTTTCTAAACATCTCTCAAAGAATTATAAAAAAAATTTGTGCACTGTAACAGTCGCTTTAGCTCGTTTACTATATATTAACAATACGAGGAGTGTAGTTAATGATTGTTTTGCTTTAATTGCTATTGTGAAACTAATCAAAATATACACTTTCTTATAAAAATCATTGGGAACATTTCATTTTGCGCGTGGGTATTTTCTGCGATTCTGTCAGTCACAATTTCGTGTTTTGCTGCTAGCTTCACAGAGGTGTGAAGTGGTCAAAGTGTGGCAAAGCTCGTATTATAGTACGCCTGTGAGTTGAGTGTGGCAAAGCTCGTATTATAGTACGGTACCGTATCAATTGTGGAATGTGGTCAAATGCTAGTACTGTACAGACTGTAGGTAAACTGTACTGTTAGTACAGTAGCAGTTGGACTCGCCGGTGTGGCGCATCGTGCGTTTTTGATATTTTTAGTGCTCAAATGTTGGGAAAAATACATAAATATTCTCTAGAAAGCATTTTTATTTGTGTGGCTTATTTTGCTCATGTTGTGTGAATACAAATACAGTCTACAGACGAAATTGGAGTAACGTTAGCGAAGTTAGACTGTTGACTTATGCGGCTGTGTGCGTTTGAATTTTTGAACTTTATTGGTATTAAATGTTTTGAATGAACACCTTTAAATATATTAAAACCTTCATACATCACAGTAACACTTATACCGTATATTCATGAATGTGAGCTTAGTAGTCTAACACGCCTACGGCAACAAGAGGCAGACAACTCACCAGTCGAGCAATCGCTCTGCGATGTCGATGCTCGAGAAAAAATTAAATAAATGAAATGTTTATTGTGGCACAAATTTATGCTTTAGAAAGAATAAAAACCGACGTAAGGGCGTTTACGGCCTAAATAACACGCTGATGAAAACATGGGCGATTTTAGCAGAAGGCAATTGCACGCTTTTTCAGTTTTCACATTTCCGTGCGAGTACAAAAATAAAATAATTATCATTGTTCCCGCGGCACAAATTTGAGATTTAAAGAAAGTAAACACCAATGTGAAGGGCGTTCACGGCATAAATAAGACATCGCGTTGATGAAAACGAACGTTGATTTTAGCAGGAGGCAATTGCACATGTTATCGGCAACTTTTTCACTTTTCAAAAAATTCAAAAGGGGGGGAGGGTTTCGACCCTTTGCCCCCCCCCCCCCCGGCTGCGCCACTGCTCTCTCATATCGGGATCGTTATGATGAGAAAACGAAAGAAATAGCTTGCTCGACTTCGTTTAATAGTTTGCGTGTTTTGGACGACTATCTGTATATTTTGGCGGTTTTTATTACGTCACTGTGACATAATTTTTAGATGACGTAGTCAGGTGAAGGTTAGAAATGAAATGTGACACCAGACCTGAAGATTGAATGTAAATCCTGTCTTATGTTGGAATTTCGAAAAAAATTTATTTAAAAAAATTGTTAAGGAATATGTACTTTCTGGCTTTTTAAGCTAGTTTTCTAACTAAACATTGAACCAATATCCACAAAAGTAATTCAATAAAATGTTAGAAGAGTTTAAAAATACAAAATTTATGTTTTCCTCACTTTCTCAAAACAGTTACCTATTTCAAGCGATGATTGATTTTTGTGTTGAAACCCTCATCTTGGTATTTCTTGCAATTATGCGAAGCTTCAACACAATGTGTGCTTTAATTATATATCAGTACATATGCACTTGGCAGTAATTATTATCTCAATATGAATTGCGATTGATAATCTTTTTAAAAATTGATTATGCTTCGACTTTGGACAATAGATGAAAATAAATTCGCTTTGTCTGTATTATTTTATAGCTTATTAGATGGTTTTTCCATTGTGTTATTCGGGTAGGCCTATATAGAAATCACCAGAAGTGTTTTGGTATCTTCAGATTTTTACTTGTATATCTTCTTTGAATGCTTTATAATGGCATCCAGGCGAAAAAAATCTCGGCCGACAAAAATAGCTGAATTCGAGCCATTGATTGATATTGAACAAAACAGTGTTGATCAAGCTTTTTTTGACCAAGAAGCTATAGAAGATGATCAAGCTGCTAGAATTAAAAGGTTTCTTGAAGAGGAATCTGAAGGTACGAGGCACAGGATTGGAGTTTATAATCTAATTGGTCTTATTTCATTACATATGACAGTGCGACACAGTTCCCAATTCCAAGCATAACATCCATATTCAAAAACATCAACAATAATGATGAATACAAACCCCTCCTTTACAAGCCACTCTAGCGTGTACCTATTCCCTGAAAATCACAAACCAGTACTGCCTAAGGAACTAAACTAAACTTGGATTTCTTGGAAAAAAATAATCAGATTCATCGAAGATTTTACTATAGCATTCGGGAGTTTTTAACAAAAAAGAATCAACGGGAATAAATAATCGCCAAATGACAGTCGAGGCTCATCCCGTTTAATTTATATTATCATCGCGACCACGATGGTGCGTTTCTGATGTCATTTTAGGTCTAAATATTGTGACATCTTGAAATTAGAGAACTGTGTCCTATTGTATGAGCAGAGATATGTAGTTGCGTAAAATTTAAACTATTAAACCCCAAGTTATTCAAAAATGGATTCATTCTTCAGGTTCCTGGTTGTTTAAACTTTTTTGTTCAGTTCTCCACTTAATTAAACCAAATTTTGACCACAATAATTTTGGCATGTGCGCGCTTTCATCAATTTTCTGTTGAAAATGCTCAGTTAACATAACATTCTACCTATTTGTACTTGGCATGTGAATCGAAAAATAGTGAAGAACCTCGATATAGCCTTCCGATTACAAACAATAGGATTATTTTCAAATTAAACTAAGTCAATATAAAATTGACCTAATTTTCAAATCTCTTTGCTTTGGTAACAAGTCACAATCAATCCTGTTTGAGATGCACAGTTCAATTTCTGCTAATATTGGTAACGGATGAGAAACCAAAATTTCTTCATGTATGTGTTGGATTTTCAAATTGCGATTAGGCAGTTATTTATTTGCAAAAGAGATCATCATTCGAATACTGCAAAATATTTTATCCTCGAAAATATTTCTTATTGAATAGCATTTCTTAATTATAATTTTGGTAAAACCTTTTTTTACATTGTGAGGTCTTTATTTTTATGTCATCGCTCATTATTGTCGTTAATTCAAATATTGACATTGGAGTGAATATTAAAATTTAAAACAAATTTTTTCATTTTCAGATACACCTGAAAATAGTTTCGAACAAATTAAGCAATCACCTGTGAAGAAAATTCTTGGGAATCCTGATAAATCAACAGTGTCCTCTACGTTGGATATTGTTGAAGGTACCATTCATTCTAATCATTAACCCTTGTACTTGAAGTATGAAGATATGTTTATTCAACAATTGTAATACAAAGCATGCCTAATTAGATTAATATGAATTTATTTAAACTTCCATTTTATTCAAATATCTTTGATGACTTTAAGACATTTTACCACCAGTTTAATGATAATTCGACAAAGGCCTTCCGGAAGGTCTTTTGGCCTTCCGGAAGGCCCTTTTAATCAAATAGTTTTGAAACCTGATTTTGTGTAGTTTGATTTTGAATTTTCTTTAGCTTATGATATTAATTGATTGCCAGTTACTCATGAATACAATCATGGGTTACAATTTCTATAAAACATTTTAGTTTTTTATCACTGACCTATTTACTTTTAATAAAAATTTCAATTTTTTGAAAAATTTGAAAAAAATCAATTTTTTAAAATCCTCATTTCTCAGATAAAAAAACCTTTGTGATCTAATTTTTTCATGTTTATGAATTTCTTGTATCATGTTGTTGCACTGAAAAACTAAATTTGCTAACAGAAAAAAGCGCAAATACAATTTTTTTTGTAAATTATAAATTTTTCATCAAAAATTTTAAACGATCAGTTTTATAAGAGGGATTATTGTTTAACTATATTCAATTAGGTACATTTTTTTCTCTAAAAACCCAGAACACAAATACCTAATACCAAAAAAAACTTCGAAAATTAATACTAACACAAACAACATGATGGATGGGAGACCCTTTCAAAAATTTTCTTGAAAAGGGCCTTCCGGAAGGCCCTAAGACCCGGTATCTGGAAACCTAAAAAACTTCTATTTTCAGTAACTAGAGCATGTACCACTATCAAATAAAAAGGGAAATATTATTTTAAGCCAAGTTATCTGAAAAGAAAGTTACATTTTTCGTTTTTGATGGGAGGGAAGGTGTTCCCCAAATGACAGCTGGGCATTAATTTTCAGTAAATGAAAGACGATCACTCATTGAAAGTCAGCGCCTACTTGGACAATAAAACTTTTGAATTTGAAATGTTTGCTCGTCATGTAAAGAATATCATGCAAGATTTGGTTGATATGTTGTCTTTATTAATGAAATATAACATCCAAAGATGAGCATTTATTAGTAGAAAACCCATGTTGCTCTAAATTGACAGTGGTCACAAGAGCGCATTAGTTACGCATCTTAGAAACCAAAGTATCCAGTACCCACATTATAATGATGACAGTGACAAATTTCAAATAAGTTTCTGCTACTTGCAGTCTAGGGATATTTCCAGAGTGCCATTCTCATTTTGTTTCTAGCTAGTTAAAGTTATCCTTTTATCAAATCTATCTGCAAAAAAATTTGGAAGTTTGGATGGGCAACTAACTCACTACACCATTAATAATTCATCCTAAGGCTCTGTCTCCACTTTGCCTATCATTCTCTGCTGTAAGGGGATTGTATCCATGTCTTAATCAGACTCTATGTCTTATTAATCAGACTCTGTCACTTTCTTCGTCTGAGAATGAAAATACATTCATCTCTGTTAGTTCACTGTCTATGCTGCATGCTAAGAAAGCACTTAGCACAACTTCCTTTTCTTTTTCAACTTCAGAATCCTAACTCTCAGTCTTTTTTGTTTGCTTCCTAAACTGCTGTTTGGTTGTTCTTCATTCATTCAAACCAAAGCTACTCTCTGCATTGCGCTCAAAAGTAATTTCCTAATTCCAATCTTTCTTAGGTTCTTTCTATGTTCTCTTCATCTGAAACTCCAGGTCTTAAAACTTTATAGTCTATTTCACACACTGTAATATTATATCACAATTCACAATGTAATATCATAAAATTTCACTCTAGCTTTCTCTAAAAACTTGAAAAGTATCAACCCAGAAACCACATCCAACCACAAATTATAATGATACTGTATATAGTAGCAATCAATTTTTAAATTCGAAATATTCTTCTGTATAGCTTAAACTTAACCTAAATATATTTAATATGTTAATCAATAACATAAAATGATAATTTGTGTCTAATTTTGGCTTCCCTTCGAAAAAAACAGGCTTTCCTCTCAATATTAAGGGTCCACATCGACACATATAACTGATTATTTTTGTAGGGCCTTCCGGAAGGCCCTAACATTTTCTATAGTAATGTCCAACTTTTATATATCATTAAACATTCTGTATTGCATTTTGTTTCTCAATAAATCAAGTAACCAACATGAAATCATGCCTTGTGCAAAAAAAAGTACCTGCAATTACGAAGAAAATATTTTTTGACACCGGAACAACAAAAATTAATCTAATATTCTGATCAATAAACTAGGTACCGTAACTTGCTTATAATTGGAGATATGAAGACAAAATAATGACTATGTCATCTGGTAATCGCCAGGCTTGCAACTACAACTTTTATTGCTTTCATTTAAAGCCCTGTAGTCTTCAATTTGGTCAAAATAGTTGAATGGTGTAAAAAAAACATAGGGCCTTCCGGAAGGCCCTTTTGTCTACATGTTTATACAAAATTTACGACATTATCGAGTGGTAGCAGTTCATTCCAATCACATTGCAATTGTTGTAAATCTATAGAAACTTGCAAAACAGTAAAAAAAAGTGCCTCGATTAATACCTGGGTTGCCCATAATTGCGATTTTTGAAAAATATATAAAAATTTTCATAGGTGACAAAAAGTTCTTATTTTCAATAGTTGAGCAGACTAATAAAAACTATATATGTGCAGTAGCTGTTAAGTGTCTGTAAATAACCTTTAATGAACTATTCAAAGCTGAAAAACTAAGAAGTTTTTCTGCTATATAGTACTGTGAAAATTTATTGTAAAAATGACCTAAAATAGGGCCTTCCGGAAGGCCCTTTTTCAGTCGAATTATCATTAACAATGTCTTGGTTCTCAAACTTTCATTTTTGACCCTTTCCAATGGTTCTCAACACTTGTGGCCTCATGCTCTTCTATATAAATACCTTTTTTTGTTTCAACCTGTTTACACTTACGGTAATATTTTATGCGGGATGTTTAATAACAAAAACTAACAAACGAAAGCGAAATAAATGTATTAATAAATACCAAAATCACAGTCAATTACCGCATGTCCTCACATATAAGCCGACCCCCTAAAAACGGCCATAAAACAGTGAATTTATAAAAAATTTGCATATAAGCCGACCCTGCAAATTGTATATCACTGTGAGAACTTAGTATGGTTCGAGATTTAGCTGTTGAAATTATTAAGTTGGCATAATGTCATTTCATTTAAGTACGATCATAATGCACGTATACCCCGAATTTTTGGCACTGCCGTAGTATGTAAACCAAGATGGCGGACACCTGAACATAATATGTGTACCAGGTTAGGGTGAGGCCATAATTTGAATCCAATTTTCTTTATTTTAGTTCTATTACGAGTTCGGGGACTAGCCAAGTGACTCCCGAAGTATTTGTACCTGAAATTATGGCCTAACCCTAACCTGGTCTGCCATCTTGGTTCACTTACTTGGGGAGTACCGAATTTTTTATTGCGATCAAATTTATGTATGTATATATGCTGACCCTTTAGTTTGCCAACTTTGGTTTTAAGTTTTAAACTCAGCTTATACACAAGGATATACAGTTTTTTAAATTTGTGTATTTGTCGCGGAATGGTACCAATTGAAGGGCTCTGCACGTCACTCCCAACAATCGCTTAGGATCCATTCTTTGATACAATGTTCCAGGCTTTTAATATTTGTGCACCGGTTTAAACCAATTTTTTATGGTGAAATAAAATGAAAATTGCAAATGCAATAGGCAGTGACGTAAATTTGTGAATTATTATTAAATCTATTCACAGTTCTTTGACTGGTGTCTATTTTCTTGAAATCGAGACACGTCCCGCGTCCTTAGATTTCAAGAACCCTTCTCGTTCTCAGTATTCTTGCACTTGCCAAAAGAGCCGCCTTTTGCAAAGATTCCAATCTATTAGGCAAGTTCATATCTTCTAAATACCCTTCTAGCTTGTTTGATATTGCAACGGGTATAATTCTCGTCTTTACATTCCATATTTTTCCAATTTCTCTCCTTAAATCTTGATATTTTTCTAATTTTTCTTTTTCCTTTAATAAAATACGATGATCGGCCGGAACTGCTATATCGATTATCAAGCATGTGTTTTCAGATGAATTTATTACTACAATATCAGGCCTTCTGTGGGTAATGATGTGGTCTGTTTGTATGTTAAAATCCCAAAGAATCTTAACGTATCATTGTTCTGTGATTTTTCTGGAGTGTGGTCGTACCAATTATACTCTTTGTTAAGGCCGTATAGTTTGCAGAGTTCCCAATGAACAATTCTTGCTAGATTATCATGTCGATTTTGTATTCACTTTGCGCCAATTTTGAGCATTCATACAATATATGAAAAACTGTCTCATCTCTTGCATCACACATTCTACATTTTGCAGAAACTCCCCGCTTTTCAATTTTTGCTTAAATAACATTCGTTCTCAGAGCCTGTTCTTGAGCAGCTGTTATCAAACCTTCCGTTTCCTTCTTTGTGTATCCTTTCTTTAGCCAATTCCATGAGTCCTCAACCATTATATTTTCAGTTTCACGAAGGTATTTCCCATGTAACGGTTTTTCTTTCCATCTTTCCATTCTTTTATTTATTTTCCTTTCTTTAAATACGTTTGAGTCTTCGTCGCCACGCAAAATACCCTCACGATATACGGCTTTCGTCAAAATATCTCCACTATTTTTTGCATACTCTGTCATACTTTTCTTCTCTGATTGAACACAGTCTTCAACACTCATTAATCCACGGCCCCCCATTTGCCTTGGCAAATACAATCTGTCAACATCACCTCTGGGATGAAGCATTCTGTACATTGTTAAAAGTTTTCTTGACTTACGATCGAGTATTTCAAGATCGTTTTTTGACCAACCAATAAAAACAGCGCTGTATCTAATTACCGAAACTGCACGTATGTTAATAGCTTTGATAATGTTACCGCCATTTAATTTCAATTTTAGAATTTGTTTTAATCGTTTTGTACATTCACTAATGATCAGTTTCTTCATTTGATTTTCGTTTATCGAATTTGATTCCAATATTCCAAGGTATTTGTATCCATTGCTTTTCTCGAGCTGGCTCATGCTATTCCCATCTGGTAAACAAATTCCCACACTGTCAATAATTTTTCCCTTTTCATACTTAATACTGCGCATTTATCTATTCCAAAATCCATTCCAATATCCCGACTGAAAATGTGTACAGTTTTCACTAAAGAGTCTATTTCTTTGTCGTTTTTTTCAAATAGTTTCAAATCGTCCATGTACAAGAAATGGTTCAGCCGCTCCTTTCCTTTTTCTATGCAGTATGATTGTATTGTTTTTCTCAAAACCATCGTCAGTGGAATCATACACAGAACAAAAAGAAGTGGAGAAAGAGTATCGCCCTGAAATGTTCCCCTTTTAATTTGAATTTCTCCGTAATGTTTTCCGTTTGCCGTCAAATGCGTTCTCCATGTTTCCATACTGTTTATGACTAGCTTTCTCAAGTTTTTAGCTATTGCAAACAAATCCAGGCATTTGGAAATCCATGAATGGGGAATCATATCGTGAATTAATATTATTATTATTATGAATTGTTGATGTGACAGTGCCTTTGGACAGTCCAGATCATTCAGAAATTCAAAATCATTCATTTTTTCTGAGAAAATGGTTTATAATGTAATTATATACATATGACTTTAATAAATATAATACAAAGATAGGCAAAATTAGTTTGTGATTCCAAATACATCAACCCTATTCAAGATAAACTTTGTTATGCAGTATTGTGCACCTTTTTTGCTGAGTAGTATTTAGTAGTGCTAGTAGCAAGTTCGACCTTACTTGACATTACTTGTAACTGATACAACATGATTGTTACCAACAGGATATTAAAGTGTTTATGGTGTTGCTGTCTATTGATCAATATTTTGTAGGGATGATTTTAAGTTTTGTTTTTTATTTTTAGCGGTTGAAGCTGTAACAAAACATTTCACAAATTCATATCCAAATGGAACAATTCCTGCCAATTTACGATTCCATCAGCTCACATCAGATGATGACACAATAGACTATACCATACAAGGTATTGGGATTTACTATAAAATTTCATGGCTTTATATTAAATTTAATTAAAGTATGAATAATAACATCCTTCAACTAACCCATATCTGTAATAGTTTCATTAGAAAAGCAAAATCTTTGGCTTTAAATTTGAATCGACTTGCCTGTTTAGTGTCAAAGACACAACATGCTTGTATTTGATAAATAGAAGACTTAATAGGAAATATGCATTTCAAAATAAACCATAATACCTTCTATAGATTGATTTATGTTCGATTGTATGTTTAGAAAACGTAAGAACTACCATACGGTTAATGCCATAGAAAATATCCAACTATTTTTGATAAAGACTCAATATGCAAATCATTATCCCTGCAACAAATGAAATTGCAGCAGGGAACAAAAAAGTCATGCTCTGTTTTCTTGAAATTCAGTGAATTGTACACTGAAAAGTGTGAAAACGCTTATTCATCTACTTTTAGTGTAGGATATTCCTTGTGATTTTCATATGTCATAGAGGTGAGGTACTTAATAAAATTAAATAGTGAATTAAAAATTTTGCACTTGTTAGCTTAGAATAAAATTGTAGAAAATTTTTTTGTGTGTGAAATATGTTCTTGAAATCTATGAACTAATGAGATATTGCTTCATCGTGACTTGGTTCCAAGATCTTTCTCAGAAAACTATATTACCTGTATTTTCTATTGATTAGTCGGTAATACCATACTTATTGGCTCAAACAAAACCAATTTTAATTTTAACAGCTCAATCACATGGGATGACAAATGGAACTGCCTTAAGGCAACCTTTAAAAGGTTTAGGAAGGAAGAAAACAGGTCAGCAGAAGAAGATTATTATTTTTTTAATACCTTGCCTCGGAAAGTGGTAATATAAGTGCAGTGATAACAAATTTTAGAGTTTAATTTTATGATCAATGACATACTTTTCAGTTTTTATATATGACTTTGATTGCCAATAATCCTATTAATACATATCTTCCACATATAAAAATTTTGTTAGCGAAGTTGTATTTGATTCTTTGGCCCCGGAACGTGGTTATATCAGTGCAGTAATGACATAGATGATGGTCTGTTTCTGTGATTAATTACATACTTTTCGCTTTTTAATTTTTATATAGGACTTTGATTGCCAATAATCTTATTAATACATATCTTCTACAGTAAAATAATAATATACATATCAAAATTTTCTATGTCAAATTTGAAATCATAATATCACTGTAACTTTTAATTAGCATTTTCTGGATTTATATTTCTCAACAAACTGATTTCCAATCATAGTAATTTCAAATTATGTTTTGAAATTACTACAGTATATTAGTTTATCTAAAGAGATGTGGAATATAATTATCATGATATATATTATTTTATAAGTCATCCGGTTTACTTAGGTTTATATTCTTGTTTGTGCATTTTACATTTATGTCTAAAATACATATGGAATTCCCCGAAACCTTATATTGCGGAACCCCCTATTGTAAAACCATCACGTTTTCAATGGTTCTTTTTTTAATAATGCTTGTGGGCATGTACTATTTTGAATGTGTCTTGCCCTCTAGAATATTTACAGATAAAAATTATATGAGAATTAAAATAAGGCTTCTCAAATGGATTATATGAACCACCATTTTCATTTGATGCCTGCTGGATTGCCCATGTAATACACTTTATGTGTATTCTCGCTGTATACTACAAGTACTGTTGATTGAATTATATTGACAAAAAGCATTAAAATTTGGATGTAAGAGACTTTGGGAAGAATTTAGAATAATTCGTTTCCAAAATTGTAATCATGCGTTTGACTGCTGATAGATCTCGTCAGGTTATAAATTATGAAATATATAACCAAAGAATCGTAACTTTCACACAATATGAGATTCCATCTCTATTCAAAATGTAAATGATTTATTTACCAGCTGTTACATGAGCCCGAGTGCAGAAAATACGGAAATATTGAATTTCTATATTTTGCTTCCTATTTTTATCAATTTCATTACAAAGAAATGTTATATAAACAGCAGAAAGTACCAGCACAAACGAATTACAATACCAACAATTTTAAATCTTGTCCTACTTCTTGAATACGAAGTGAACCTACACCCTCATGTCATTTATACAATTCTTTAAGCATTTGGCCGGAATTTCCTGACATTGCAGTGTCCATATTTGCACTTTGACCTTTATGTCCATATAAGTTTGAGCCATTGCTCCCTTGTATTGTAATACTCTAATATTCATTCCTCTCCTACTTTGTTCCAGGTGAATCAATGCAGAAACATTCAACTCATTACAAGTACTTGTTGGCTTTATCTATGCCAGGTCAGTAGCTTTATTATTTTTACAAGTCCAAAAAACTTGTTAGTTTGACTTACTCATATTTCACGGATTTCATAGCAAAAGAGTAAATGTTGAGATTACAAAAAATGTTTATTCAAAAATAATACAAAAATAGGTACTTTCAGCCTGTTTCAGGTTGATAATCTAAACATAGTTTCAAGCACTATTCACCAAAGAAATTCAAAGTTGATAAAGGAGATCAAAAATATAAAAAAAAATTATCATTTTCTGAAATCAGCTTTTTCTATATCGCCCTTTTGCGTTTAAGCCCTTGATTTGTGAAGTACTTCTACTGCATCTTTTTCTGTTTGTCTTCATTCTTACTATATTTATCAAATTGAAGCTGAGTGAAAAAATCAATTTTTAAATATTGATCAAATACATTCAAGTTTTCCGACAACCATAATTTTACCCGGGCCATAGCTATTTTTTATATTCTTTTCACCACACGTGGGAGTATGCAAATTTTGATCTGATTTTAATCATGTTTAGTCTATATTGTGTGTTCTGTATAGAATTGCTATTTTGGGTTTCGTTGTAGAGTACTCACTTAAATTATTTAAGTATGGATTTGATTCTAATTCTTGGCTTTTTATATATACTGTAAATGGGACCTATTTAAATACCAGCAAGTTCAATAGGCCTATCAGTCGAAATTAGTTAAGCGAAATCAACTGCTTTTTCAAATGTAATTAGGATTTATGTACAGCTGGCACTGCACTCCATACCGCTTATTGTCAATACGGGGTGATCCCCCCTAAAATAGACCCCATGAATTTTTTATGTATTTCAGGGTGATCCCCCAAAAAATTGACCATATAAATTTCTTATGTCTTTATTTAATAACAATTTATCTTCTGTTTGTGTGTGATTGTTACCGAAAGTAATCTAAAACGCTTTGCGCAAAAATTACGTACTCTCCATAATATTTTTCGAATGACCTTGCTCCTGTTTTTTGAGTCACCCTGTAAGACTTGTATGTATATGCTGATTTCCTCTGATTTTAGCTTGTACGTCAGTAGAAATTTTCATGTGTACTTGGATACTTAGTGGGGCACAATGTGCAATTGTTTGTATTTTTTGCCACTGTGTGTATGTGGTCCGAATAATGCTGTAATAATTTGACAAGCTTTGTAAATAATTGTAATAAATTAGTTGACAATAGTGTGGCATGCAAATAACTATTTTGGCTAGCATATCTCTCGACTTTTGATTTAATCATTACTATGTGATATTTTAAGGAGTGAAAAGAGGACCTGCAAAACGTAGTAGAGTGAGAGATGAGGTAATCTTACTATTTTGATATCACCTAAATCAGTGGTTCTCAAACAAGGGCGTGGACAAATTTTTCAGGGGGCGTGAATCTAATTAAAAATAAAAATATTTGTTAGATATGATTTTGCCTGCCTTGTTTCGGATATTTACATTTCTTTATTATGTACAGTGTACACATATTTTTCCAATGTTTTTTAAATACTCTGACCCCACCATCTGTTATTTGTGACTTACTGTTAGGTATTTATTTTTGAAGTAGGGTGCGAGACTTGACACATTCTAAAAAGGGGGCGCGGCTTTGATAACCACTGATCTGAATACTGTAATTGAAATGGGACATTTTTTGTGCTTCTACTGTGTATATATGGATATATCAATGTCTAAAACAATTGTAGTTGCATTTTTGTTGTTATTTATTCTTTTTGTAATTTTTTCATTCTCCCAATTGACATTCTATTCAAACATGGCTGCGTTTTCAATATACAACAGACTGTATCAGATTTGAACTGGATAGAATAACGTTATTTTTGAAATATTAGACCAGTCTGCTCTGGACTGATAATACTGACACAATTTGAAGTAGTTTTTTTATGAAATGGATAAAAAGGCTATTCTGATAGCTTAATAATGATAAATATGTTATGAATTTGTGGTATCCCTGTATCATTACCAGCAATCAGAATATTTCTTTTAATTTTTATGCTTCTATTTTTAAAAATTTATAAGAGGCCAAGAATATTCCAGCTTTTTCATTCAATTTCACAACTTGCAATTATATATTATTTTCTGCTTCAATTCGGCACAAATATTTGTCACAATTTGTGAATAACAAATTACAAAAACAAGGGAAATACAGATTTTGTCCCAATTCACACTGGAATTCCATTATTAAATCGTTTGGCAACAATTTAAACCAGTAGCCTATATTCCTCAAAAACTGTTCTAAAAGTTTAGGATTTTTTGATATTTTGAGAAGGATTGTCAGCATCCAAAACAGTATATGCTTTAAATTTGAATGCATTTTTAGTTTTATTGTTTAGAACTTGTATGTATCGTGTATATTCTCTTCAGGACTGTCCAAGATACACATGTGAAACTTGCAAATATGTTACGAATCGTAGCGATCATTTTAAACGACATCAGATGACACATTCAGCTGATAAACCATTGAAATGTCACAAATGTAGTTATGGTACTGGACGATCAGATCATTACAAGAGACATTTACAACGTCACGGGATGAGCGAAAAGGTACAGATTTTACATTCTTAATATTTACCAAAATGTTGCTGCATTTAGGTGATTTGCTGAAGTTAAATTGCTTCACAACTTTCATATTCTGAATAGAAACTTATGTAGTAACTTATGAAAATATGCATCATAATCAAATGTTATTTTCTAAAATGTACACTCAAGGACTTTCAAAAATTAAGATATCATTTGTTTTGGATGTCTTTGTATTTCACTCTTCAATTTTCACATGAATCTCAGCCATTCGGTTTTGGGGTGTCCCAAACTAATTGTTTTTTATTCAGGTTAATCTTGTATCTGCATTTGCACCATTGCTCTGAGTAAGCAGTGACTGATAAAAATTCTGTTTCCTGTTTCTTCATAACTTACTCATTTTTTATTTCATGTAATGTGATATTTGTGGGGTTTGAATCTAAAATTCTAAAATCTTTGACCTCCTAACTGTAGGATGAATTTAATTTTTTTACAGGATATAATTGACTGTTGTGCACGTAATGGACTAAAGTTGAAAAATATACCATCAAATAATACAAACGTTAAAAGTGCAAATAAAACGACACAGGATAATAATACCAAGCCGCCTGCATTGGTGGTCAAAAAGGAACCTGTACCGGAGATCAAATATATTCCAGAAAAGGTTTTTATTGTTTTGTTCTGTGAAATTTTATCTCTCTTTTGGGATCTTCATTTTTCTATACTTCATAAATCAGTTTGTCACTCAATTGCATGTAACAATAACTATCATATTCTAGTTGTAGCTGTAATGAATTTATTATACAATTTTTAAACCACATAAGCATTGTAGTTTGTGTTGCTGCAAAGCTGTGGCATTGGAGTGGTTCTATCTTATAACTAGTGGTAGGATTCAGGGGAATGTTCTTGTAAAGTCATGATAATCAATGAAACTGTTGATGTTTTTGAATTTTATATCAGATTTATGTAAAGTGTGTCATGTTAAGTTTACTTAGTGTCGTAACAGATATTTATAACATGTATCATGTTAGAATTCAAATCCAAAATTTCATTCAAGCTCTTCATCATCCTTATTTGATTTTCAGGTGACATTTCTTGATCCGGGGGCAACCCCTCCGAATACGATACTTGATGGGGGAGACGAACTGTCATCTGATAGTAAAAGGTTTGAATGCTCGAAGTGTGAATATACAACAAACAAAAAAAGCCATTTTACTCGTCATCAACTCGGCCACACAAAAAATACATTCACATCATGTGCAAAGTGCAATAAGTCTTTTAAAACAACATCGTATCTTCATAGACACAGATGCAAACCACAGCGTCGTTGTGCTCAATGTAAACAAATCTTCATAAATCATGAAGCTATGTTGTTACACACTGCTCAAGAACATCCTGATACCCCGCAATTTGTTGTAACCAAAAATGAATTCTCTGAAACAGAAGCAGAGCTAGATTTGTGTTTATTAAACGGCACTTTTTCAGATCAAAATCAAATTGAATATGCGGTTAATGAAACTGAGGATAATACTGCTGATATGACCGAGCCAATGGATTTATCAAAATGCAAATCTGAAAAGCAAGATGAAAAAACTTTAATATTTGATGTTCAAGTCCCTAATCGTGAAAAACTGGACATGCCCACTCAAAGCATTTCATCAGAAACCAAAATAACGGTTGTTGGTACTGGTCCGCTTGAAGATACAGTGCCTCACTATGTTCCTTTGCAAAAACAAACTGTTTCAATGCAGAGCGATCTTACTGCCATGGGAAATTTTAGGTGCACTAAATGTAGTGCATGGTTTAATAAACTAAATGAATATTCAGCTCACCAGTGTATCTAACTATACTATTTTGTCTTGGAATTTCATCTCTGGTCTTTCAACTGTGTGCAAAGGAGGATGACGAAAATGTCACTATTAGGCGTCAAACGTTGATCATATTTTTTTAAATTGCTTCTCAAATCTGTCTGATCCATGTGAAGTCAGAGCTAGTGATGGGATTATAAAAAGGTTCTTTTTTGTGGTCATCTAAAGTCTAAAACAAGAATGGGACCGTACAAACCCACAAATCCCACCACTGGTCAGAGCTCCAACAGTTTAAAAATTGAACATTTTCATTTGCGAAAGTTTTGCTGCAGATCGAATTCTAACTGATGGCATTGTATGCTTGCCTGGAAGTGGTATATTGTATTACTGTGGGATACCTATGCTGTGTATAAGTATCTAATGAAGCTCCAGGACTGCCAAATTTCTACCTCTAGAAACATATATATGTCTGAATTTATTTAAAAATAATAGTGCGTTTTAAGAAAGTTTATACAGTCTAGCATGAGGCTGACTGGATAACATGCTACTTTTTGAGTAGCTATATGACATCCCTATGTTGGAATTTATTTTTTTACATGTTCTGGTCAATAATATACTCACTTTTGATTGTTTTGACAATTGTGCCTTTATTAGTGTTATATTTGTTTTCATGTGATATGTGACTTATTTGTATCAAGACTGCATGCTGAGCTGCTTACAGTGCCTTCATTTCGATTTGTTTTGAGGCATTTTGTACTGGAAAAGATGGCGTTTTTTGCCCAGATTGTCTCTTGTCAAATATTTGTATAGTACTGGTTATTATTATAGTCTGTTGGTGCATGTTGCATTCTGATTATTTAAAAAAAAATTCCACTTTGCAGTATATAAGAGGAATCCACAATATACCAAAAAAAGAATGAGCTGAATAAGCTATTGAGAGTTCAAGTATAAACATAATGTATGTTTTTGTTTGAATTTGGAAATGCTTTTTTAATGAATATGGACAAAATCAAATACCGATAATTCAAATCTAAATATAATTTGCCAAAGTTATTTTTGAGAAATGTTAAGTAAATGCTGTTTCAGAAATGGTGTGAAACATTTGCAATTGCATTCATTGTCTTGATGATACTGCAGTACGGGAGTACCTTGCAATGAGCTGTGGTGCAAAAAAATAGGCTCCGACGAAAATGTTCGACTCTTGATTTAGATTTTGATCACTGATACTTTATAGTGTTGTATAACATGTCAGTTATAAAAAAAGGATGGGGGAATTCCATGCACTCTTTAAGACTTCTTATTATTAGACTCCACAACTCTTTTTCTGGCTAATTATTTCTCTCTTGTATGTATTGTTTTAATTTTGGAATTTACACCATGCAGTCACTGCCACAATTATGTATGATCTTATTATTTCAAGCAAACGCATGTTATGGTTACTGTGATGGAAGTTTGCATCCACAATAAAATTTGCCAAAATTTGCAATATGGTAATGTTTGTATGCATCCATCCAATGATCAAATATATCTGCATGAATATGAGGTCGTTGAGGTGACAATGTTGTGCTTGGTGCAACTTTATTCAGAGGAGTCCTAAGCATACCGCAGTATTTTTGAATCGCGTTCTGGGGTTCAAGCTATCTTATTGTATCTTGCCCCCGTGATTATGATTGGTTGGTCATTCCAAACATTGAATTTCTGTTATTTCACTGATCATTTCATTTGAAACTTACGGAAAAAGACTTGTATCTCCAGCCACTGCAAGGGAGTCCGGCAACACAGAATATAGGCAGACCCTGTGGTTATTATTATAAACGTTAAATTCCTGATCTTTTGGTTTAAACTTACAAAAAAAAACTGTATCTCCAAACAACGTTCTATGAGCTCTACGATAAGGTTCCGGTGCTCATATAAATAACTTTCAAATATTCACTTCCACTGCAGAAGAAGGGGGAGGTTGACAAAATTTGCCCTGATAGGCAGAAAGCAGACTTGAACCCGGTAACAAAAATTTTGGCCCTTGGTTTGACGCTACCGAGCAGTAGCTTCACAAACTTTTATATTTCAGACAAGTTACATCAAGTTAGTAACTAAAGTAAAACTAAACTCTTCATTTATTCTAATGTTCTCTATCTTCCAACAGTATGAAGCAACCAGAGGTGGAATAACTTAACCACTAACTAAGATTCAACAATTCCATTCAATATATTGTTTATTCAACTTGAGCAATATCACAGACTATCAAATCAAGAAAATGACAGGGAACAGTAGTGACCCTATGAATCATACTTCCGATTGACAGTGAGACGAGTCTCATTATTCTGGCAGAATATTTTAAACATAATCCCTTGGATTCAGGCTTCAATCTCTCTCCATTGTCTCTTCTCTTGATACCTGATCTTGTACTTTCGTTTAGGAATGTTTCTTTTACAACGAGGTTCAACGATTCCCCTGAACAAAATACAACAGGTTCATTTCAAATGTAATCCCATAAATGATAGTGATAAACTTTTTCCAGTTCTTAACAAGACCATTCGTGAATGTGTTAATACTGGGTAAGGCAAATAACCTCCCACATTTTGAGTTCTTACTAGGGCAATGCTGTTACAGTCATTCACCTGATTTAAGTAATTTTATGTTGTTAATGAACTGCCGTTTTGTATTTAGCTATCTATAGATTTCAAAAACAAGTTATTTATTACAACTTCAATGAGAATCATTAATGTATAAATCTGGCTTGGACAGGTAAACACATTTGATTTCTTTGCATGGTGATATGGGGGATCTGTACATTCGCCTACATTGTCTGTAGGGCTATCTCAGGGGTAAGGTGTACAAGCACCGCCCAAGACCAACAACCATTGATGGACTGAAAGATGCTATTTACAAAACAAAGATTCCAATTCCACAGGAAGTGGGGACGGGCCATGTTGAAGACGTTGTTTTCGAAAGTAGTTTCCACATAATGGCATTCAAATGCCTTGTTAAGTATGTAATAAAAATATAACGAAGGATATTCTTGTCTATTTTTGTCTCATCCTGTATCTCATAGGATTCATAATTAAAAAGGTAAAAAGGAATTATATAATTTTTCATATTAGTTAAAAAAGAAGTATAGTATAATACCAGTGAATCTAACCCAGATGATGTAAAACCGGAATTTAGTCATTTAATATGAATTGATCAGTGTGTTTACATAAGAAGGATTTGGCAGAAGTGCATTGGCAGCACGACTAATGCATATATAGGTATTGATCGTTTCAGCGCATTCAGAAGTCTTTGACCCAGAATAGCAAAAATAAACATTTACTGACATGGACATGAATTGCATTAACTAGTCTAAAACATGAAGTGTGGTGTAACTGTATAATCTATTCATTGAGATAAATAGACTATGTGAATGTTGATTTAGAGTCATACTGTTACTATAGCAGCAAGAAATCGATTGGTTGCATTTTTAATTAGTGGCAATGATGACAATTATGAAAGTAAAACTATCAACTTGTATTAAAATTACCTCTTCTGAAAACTTTTATAACGATCAGTCAGAACTCCAGATTCTGGTTTCAATTCCCGTAATGAACCTTTTATTTCATCGCTTAATTTCAACTCAATATCTTGTTCAGTAAATTTCACATTGGACAATGTCAGCTTAAAACAAAGAAGCATTATGTTTTATTCAGATAAAATCAGCCTTTATCACAATGCTGTGCTTGCCATTGAGGTTTTTTTCCAGTTAGTTATATTTACTTATTTCAGCAAAAATTAGTCTAAATCTATTTTCAGCTAAATTTACCGAAGCGCTCCAATTCATTACAGTTAGTTTGAGGTAGCCATGTCAACAGTCCAAACATAACGTGGCCCCTGAATCTAGGAGAATGAAAACCCGTCAACCCCAAAATTATTGGGCACTGCTGAAGTAGTGCATGGAGCATGGAGTAAAATATACAATTCTGAACATTCTTCACTCACCAGTCGAAGTTTCTTTTTACGCAACTCCCTCCGAGTTGCAAGTTTTCTTTCCTTAGCTCTTATTTCGGCGAGGAAAGTTTTCGTTCGAAAAACCTAAAACAAAGAATAATTTTACAATTCAATGAAAATTTTATTCATAATTAAAAAACATCTGGTAAATTATATCGATGAAATATTACCCACTGAACCATAATACATCGAACATTTTGGACACAAAGACCCATAGGTTGTTTTTGTATATGATTTTAGTCGAGATGAACATGTGCTTTTCTCTTCAACTATATTTCCAATCGTTTTTATAATTTCATCAGATAAATATAGAAGACAAACCTCATTTTCCCTCAGTTTTGCCCCCCAAACTTTTTCTTTTTGTCTTTTTTCCATTTTTTCTTTCTCCTCCATTTTTCTTTTTCTTCTTGTTTTCCGATCGTTAGCTCGAACTGGAGCGTTCGCCATAATATCTTTAGCAGTGGAACCATCAACAAAATCCTCATGGTCATCATTTGAACCAAATAAACCTTCTTGCATCTCTTTCTGATATGTATCAAGATCAGGAAGTTGTTCATATGGAACATGGAGTGATCTTTGAACCTTTTCAGCAACTTTCAATTTGTTCAGCTCAATTTGATATGCCTGATGAAATATGTAATTTCATTGATCAGAGTTTATTTGGTTATTTATATAGTATAACACAGTGGAATAAAGCAACAGTTTGATACTCTCAACTATTCTCACACTAACATAGGTGAATACTAGATGCTCAGTTCTAAATGAGCTTGAATAATCAATTGGTCAGTGATATAATTTATATGCTCAGTACTTAGTATTTAGGGCATTGTTCCCAACCCGAGCATTTGAATGAGTCCTCAACGAGCAATACCGTTTAGAAACGTTATGCAGTGGTACAGTAAATAGTTCATGTAGGTAACTAAATCTTTTAGTGACGCGGGCCACTTTCACATTTAGAAATTCATTGTTGGCGCAAACGTTTTTACCGAACATCAGCATCAGTTAAGTTCAAATTTGATGGAATCGATTGCTCGGCAAAGTATTCGAACATTGAACTATTAGAATACCAGGTGACACATGACTTGAACACGGCACGTCACTCGCGCCTCGCTAAATCAAACTGTTAGATTGCACAACGCACGTTGAAAATGTATGTTATATTTGCGTTATTTTTTATTTATTTGTTTCCGTGGCTCAACGGATATATTAATTTGAATAAGTAAATTCTATCAGATTTATTTCAACGGATACACAATAACGACATTTCAGAAGTTTTATTTTGAATGAAAAATAACATAGACACGATAGAAAAATACAAACAGAAAAAAGCCAGCAAACTCCGGAGCCAGCCATAAAAAATATTGTTCATTTTTCAATTCTACGATGGCGATAAGGTGAATCAAAGCCAACACGATATATACCGGTAATAATCATAATGAAATTAATTTGGGCTGTAAATTCGTCGCCAGTGATCGCATAATATTTTTTGAGTTTGTCAGAACGAGCAATTCTTGATGTCCACCAGGTCCCAAGACTTTATACATATATATGTAATAAGGAACAATCACGAAACATACTTTAGCGGCGGAAATTTTCATTTCGAGACTGACTACGATAAAATGGAATCCATATATCTGTATCTTGCAAATCCGCATTGTTTCCTTGTGGCAAAAAAGTTTCGATATTTGAACACCAATCCTGAACGAATTATGTTCGACTACCGAGGTATCACTCTATATATATAGTAAAAGCGTGAAAAAACATAAAATCTTAATAAAATAAAAATTGTAATCTAACCTGTGATAACAAACTTTGATGATCACTATATGTTGGATTATAGGAGGCTCCAGCATGAGCAATTTCTACAGCTGGTACAGTTCTGTATTTATAACGCTGAAAAAAATAAAAGTAGCCTATCGTAATAATTTTTTCGATCGAGCAATCAATTAACAATTGCTGTTTTAACAAGAATGTGGATTTCTATTCAGTGAGGCATTGGGGATTTTTCCAAATTTAAATGTCATTATTTCAATTATAAAACTGTCTATGAATTGATGAAGAAAATCAAAATGTAGCTGGAACCAGCCACAAATTAAAAGCACTTTGAACACAATCTACCAAGAACATATATACAGCATTATACCGTAATATATACATTTTTATATATGGACCATAAGTTTATGAAAGAAACTTAGTCATATTTTATTAAACCATTTCACACAATAATAGTCGCACTTGATGTGCCAAAAGTAAAAGGCACTTTAAGAAAATTAGTTTGGTTGATGGTCTAATTACATAAGTTGGTTTGAGCTTAATAGTATACCTCAACATCGTTAGGTTTGTTTTCCAAATGTTTTGGTCGCTTTACTTGTCTTTCTCCAATTATGATATCTGTGTATTTTGCAATTTCTGTTTTTTTGTTTGCTATGTCATACAAATCCAAGCTTTGGTTAGCCCATAAGTCGAACGGAGCATCCTGAAAAACATGAGTTATCGTACACATCTGAATAAAGTAATTAAATTCTTCTGAAATACAAAACAGTTGAACACTGTTTCATAATATCACTAATTTAAATCAGCTTGCTGTTTTGTATCCTAGGCATACCTTTGTTACTTAAGGTTATTTGTGGAAACATATAGATTGGCAATCTCAATAACATATCCAATTTCCATGCCTTTGAACAGAGCACGGGACAAAACCACTCAATTTATAGTTCTATAAACTCATTAATGAATGTAAAGTCCTATGAATCTGAAGTCACCCCAAATTGCCAATATACTTGTGACCTGTATAATAGGCCACAAGCTGCTAATTCAGATTCTCTTACCTTTCTAGGAAAGAAAAAAAAACCACATGCATACATTACTTTTATAGTTAAAGTATATATGTTACTTACCTCGGAGAGTGGAACACCAGTTTTAGGAATTTTGTTTCTTCTCTCTAATTTTTTATCCAGTCTTTTTACTGCTCTTCTTTTTGATCTATTACTTGTTGTACTTGGAGGTTTAATAGCATTAGGATCCGGTACTAATGTCTCATCAACGTGCAGTCTTTTATCTCGTTTCAGAGAACGTTTTGATTTATTCTCTGTTTTAGCAGATTTATCAACGAAAAATAATTCGTCATCAGTTTTTTCGCTGACTAGTCCTCCAGTTCTCAATTCCAATCTCTCAATGTCAAGAGCTTTTTCAACATCAGAGATATCAATATTTTTTCTCCATGTTTTCTTCTTATTTTTGTTTAGTCTCCGTTTTTTAGCCTTCTGGCTCATATTCTTTTCAAAATTTATCATGCTTTTGAATTTCTAATTTTATCTTTATAATATATAATTAGACTGCACAATACAATAATAAACATGGCTTGCACTTATAATTCCCAACAAAACTGAACACATTTTATAAACCAGTAGTCTTGTCACCCAAATGAATTTCATTTGAAAAATATAAAGATGTCTCTGTTGATAAAAAAATGTTTGGGTTTAGGGCCACTCTACATTGCGCCTTGCTTACATTCACATTATTTTCAATCCGCGTAAATTGTTAGAATTAGATTAGAAAATGTGTAGAATAGCGATATTGATAATTCCCCTTTAGAATTCACTATTACAGGCAGCAAAAAGCGAATGGTACCAAAGTATACAAAGACTCCCAAATAAGAACACTGCTGTTTCTGACACGAAAATCCAAAAAAAGAGAAATATAGGCACATAGTTTTTACAATTTGCACAAAATACAGCAAATAAATTATATTAATATCACCGTTCGATTACTGGAAGAAATCTCAATGACACAGATTACCATGAATTCACTTTTGAAGAGAATTTTGATATTTCACAAACCATAGGACCATATTAACAAACCCATCACTTTCTGCTTCTACTCCATTTAAAATATGATGGTTGTTTTCATATTCAAGGACTTTACATGTTCCACCAAGAGCCCTATATTTCTTTGCCCATTGCTTTCCTTGTGAAGGTGGAACTCTCAAATCAGATTTTCCCAGCATAACTAAACATGGAGCTTTAGCATTCATGATGCGAGATATTGGTGACTTGCTCAGCATAGCCGCATAGGATTCTTTGCATGGAAGAGAAGTAAATTCAAACTGCTTTGAATCCACTTCCCATGGCACCCAGTCAGGTAAATCTGTTAATTCGCTCATAGCAGCCAGATTGGTAACTGGATTTTTTGCACACGCTGCAGAATAAAAATCGGGATATTGACTGATGAGTTGCAGAGTCAAGAAGCCTCCATGAGACAATCCCTCAATAAACACTCTGTCAATATTAAGATCATTTTTCAACATTTTTGCAACCTGATGGACGTCGCTTACATCTTGCATACCAATGTTTCCTGGCAATGAATCAATTGACGATTGTCCATAACCAATAGATCCCCTATAGTTTACTTGCACTACTGTGTATCCAAGCTTACACAATACAGCAATATCATGCACAAAAGCAGCTACATCTAGAGTGTGAGGTCCTCCATGGGGATTCACTATCAATGACTTTATTTTGAGCTTGGGAATAAAAATCCCATATACAGGTTCATAGAGAATATACTCACACGGGACATTTGGAAATTTTGAATTTTTTAGTTCTGGTTTAAATGAGTGTACAGACCATGTAAGACTTTCAATTCCCTTAGATGGCTGGTCTACTGTAGTCCAATTTATTTCGGTACCAGATATAAACTTAGCAATTTTTATCTCTGGAGGATTTGATGGCGTTGAGTAGCCAATCACAATAAAGTCATCTCTCACATCCAGTATGGTAGAAAAACCAAATTTTGTCAATCTCATAACAGATCCACTAACAATATTAACGTCTAAAATGCAATAGTGAGATCTCCAAAAGCTGGAAAGAAACAAATGATGTCCATCAATACTCCAGCAATTACTGAGTAAATTAAGGAGATATAAACCAGGAAAATCATCTTCAGAATTTGGAATAAATACAGTACCAACAATGACTTGATGGCTAGGTACTTTAATAACAGATAATTCATCATCTATCTTTGGTAAACAAAGTGAAGCAAGTTCAGTGCAGTGAAAGTGCGGGCCTCCTACTGGATTTTTCAAAAATACGATGAGATTATCTGTGGGGTGCAAACGAGGCCTTCGAACAGAAATATCATTCGGAGTTAATTTGATGCAAACCTGCTGTTTTGTATTCAAAAGAAAAATGTGATTCTCACGAGTCGTGGTCCACAGAAGACCAAGCTTGTATGGACCATGTAACCAACCAACAAAAATAATTGATTCGCAATCATGATGCCAGATAGCTTGTCCAGCTGAAATATCTTGAGGTATAATATCGGAGCAAACAACAATCTCCTTTGTTGAAACATCAAACACACATATAGTTGGTCGGATGGCTTCAGTTAATTGCTCCCTCCAGCATTCCTCCCAAACATGTTTATTTCCATGATCAAATTGGTTATACTTGTTACTGGATTTAAAATATGATTCAGATTTTGGTCTTTTAGTTTCTGCAATGTATAGAATTTTTTTATTGTCACTTGACCAATCTAAACTTCCAAATTGTTCATCGCAATGGACAGGACCATGTTTTTCAGCCTCATTCAAATTAACGTTCACAATTTTTTTAAAGCTGTCCCATATTTCAATAATGTGCACTCTATTTTTATCGACATCTGTAAACTCTCGAATAATGGCCTTCATTTTTCCACAAGATGTATACTTTAGAAGAACTTCTTTGCTGGTAACATGTGTAGTGAAAGTGGAAGATTTGCCATGAACCTTTACTTCTAAACCTTTGACATCCACTCGAGACGACTTTCGAAATATAATATTTTCAGTTCTTTCAAGATCTTTCTGTTGCCAAATACTTTCAAGTATGTATCGATTAGAATTGTCAGTGGGCAATAGGGTTCCACTGATGACATTTGGGATGGAAGCAATCTCCCGATAACTATCGACCACTTCTTCAATTGCCATATTTGCCATGATATTATGCTTTAAATAGACCTATAGATAAAAGACTTACGGTACAAGATAAAGGCTGAAATTGGAGCATTCCAGCTGAATTGATCCAAGTAGAAAAATCAAAAGTTTAACGAGATGTGCCAGGCCAGAGCATCTTTCGTCCATGATTTCAATTTACACTTATTTCAAAGTGAATTGCCTTTGTACGAACAGAAATCAAATATATACTAAGTAATACCATTATAAAAAAAACTATCTATTCACTGAAATAACATAGTTCTGATTAACAATTACACTCTGGAGACGGTACAAAGACATAAAAATGATTGAATTGAAGCTTTTTGCAAAAAAAATTGTGTTTCTATCAGAATGCAAATGAATTCAATATTCAAAATTAATATCAAAAATGGATATCTCTGATCAAAACAATACCAACTTTACACATGTACCATCTACCATGTTGAAGTGGGACAGGATATTTGAACTGAAATATAATCACAATGTAAATTTTATAAAAAAAATATTATGAATTGAATCATAATCTGATAAATGAATAACTTGGAGCAAAGAACAAATTTATAATTTGGCGAAGAACGAATTCTGCATGACCATAATTGCAAAATTCACTAACTCTGAATAATAATAACACAAAATAAAAAATAGTAAATTAATAGAACTTATTTAGTTTAAAGTATTCTGATATTTTTGAAACCACAATATTGTATTCACAAATCCATCTGCTTCAGCATCCACTTTGCTCAAAGGATGATTATTGTCTTTGTATAACAACACTTTACATTCCTTACCGAGAGCTCTGTATTTTTGTGCCCATCCTTTACCTTGTGAAGGTGGGACTCTCAGATCACAATCTCCAAGCATAAGTAATACAGGTGCTTTTGCTTTTTCTATGTGGAAAATGGGAGACATTCCCAGCAGAGCCGAGTATGAATCAGAACTTGGTAATGTCTCAAAATCAAACTCCTTCCCACGTTCACAATAACACCAATCTGGTATATCAGATAAATCAGACTTGGGAGCAAGGTTTACAGCAGGGTTTCGGACTACCGTAGCAGAATAAAAATCTGGAAATTGTGAAATTAAATGCAATGATAGGAATCCCCCGTGTGATCCACCTGTCAGGAAAACTCTAGTAGGGCCCAATTCATTTTTTAGTTTTTTCGACACTTGATGAACATCGCTGACATCTTGTTTCCCAATTCTACCTGGGAGCGAGTACACACCATCATTGCCAAAACCAACAGAACCTCTATAATTTATGTTAACAACAGTGAATCCAAGTTTGCACATGCCAACAATGCTGTTCATAAAACCAGCAGAACTGTTAGAATGTGGACCACCATGTGGAAATACCACCAATGCTCTGTTATTTGCCTTCGGTGTCATTGGCTGGTATAAAATATATTCAGTATCAACATCAGGATATTGTGAATTCTCTAATTCTGGCTTGAATGAATGAACAGACCATTTCATGTCATCAATTGGTTTACAAGGTTGCACGACAGTTGTCCAATTCATATCTTTATCTTTTTCAAATTTTGCAATTCTTAGTTCTGGAGGAATGGTTGGGGTAGAATGACTTACAACAATGACATCATTCTTTACATCTAAGACAGATGTATTACCTGTAGAAGTCAGTCGCTTCACTTGACTGCTCTTAAGATCTACAACCAAAGCAACAGTGTGAGATCTCCAGATACTTGCTAAGAAAATATAATTGCAATCAATACTCCAACAATTACTTGGTAAATTCATAAAGTAAAGACCAGGAAAATCATTTTCAGAATTGGAAGACTTCACAAGATCGATGATGACATCCTGCTGTGCAAGTTCTTGAGAGTCGTCTTCCCATGATGGCAAGTTTAGAGACATAAGTCTAGAACATTGCATGTGTGGCCCTCCTACACGATTTTCCACAAACACAATTGTATTGTCCTTAGGATGCAAACGTGGGGATCGAACAGATTGATTATCGTCAGACAATGTCTTGCAAATCTTTTTATTTGTATGTAAGAAATACAAGGCACATTGACGAATAGGGCAATAACGAAGACCAAGTCTGTATGGTTGTTGCATCCATCCAATAAATACAACAGATTCACAATCATGATGCCAAAAAGCCTGGCCCGCTGAGACATCCGAAGGAATAACATCAGAAAAAACTGTGATTTCTTTATTTGACAGATCAAGTATACATACAGTAGGTCTGTGAGCACCATCCATCTGTTCACCCCATGAATCGTACATGACATGCTCATTTCCAGGCTCACAGTCGTCCTCTTTCTTGCTAGTTGACTTGAAAAAAGACTTTGTCTTGGGTTTCTTAGTTTCAGCAATGTATAAAATCTTCTTTCCATTTTTTGACCATTCTAGTGAACCAAATTGATCATTACTGATCACGTCACCATGCTTATCAATATCCTTTAAATTGATATTCAAAATTTTCTTGAACTTGTCCCATACCTCTATGTATTGAACCTTCTTATTGTTCTTGTCCAATACTTCTCTAACTATGGCCTTCATGTTTCTGCAAGAAGAATATTTTACCAGAAGCTCTTTGGTCAACTCATTTGGAGGAAATTGAGTTACATCTTTGATAATATCACCGTCAATTTTGAAGCAACAAGACTTCACATATTTTATGTTTTCTTCTCTTTCAAGATCACGTTGCTGCCAGACACTCTCAAGACCATACTGAGAATCTCCATCTTGCCATATAGTGCAACCCAAAATTGTTGGTATTGCAGCAATTTCTCTGTAAACATCCACAACTTTGTCGATTTTTATATCCATCTTTTTTCTGTATTCAAGTATTTTAAAAAGTAGTCTGCACTCTTAGAAGAGAAATATCACATCAAATGCTATGACAGTATGCAGGTTTGATAGTGAAATTAATGCAGATAATGAATATTATTGCCAAGAGTGTTCGCAAGATTTTATTTTACATCCACCTTGGGAGTTGTTTAAAAATATTAATTATTAATTAATATCTGAATGTATAAATACATGCGTATTTGTTGGACATTTGGGCATAGTACGGGGGTTAAAGGTGTATGTTGCTACTGTAGTGAAGAAATATGGTAACTAAATTTATAAACATTTGTGTATTTAGATTTTGTTATTTTTAAACAACTCCGAAGGGAAGATAAACAAAAAAAAAAGGTAACTCAAACCATATTGCAGTCGTAAAAGACAGCAGGTCAAGTCTGGGGCGAAAGTCTGTAATCCTGTCAGAGAGGTCATATTTGTATAGGCAAATACGCTTGTACAAGTAACGTTGTTCAAATTGTATTTTTGTGTAATGGTAACGTATCCAAATAAGCAAACTTGCTCCTGCACAGAATCAGTTACATACTGACATACGGTAACAATCAAAAATAAAATCTATCTAACAGTACCGGTACCGGTATGTATTTGTAACATAAATACGGTATACTACTAGGAATCACACATAGCCTATGTAATCAAAAAAATCAAAATTTAATGAGGTGTGCCAAGCCAGAGCAACTTTTGTCCATGATTTCAATTTACAACAGAAATCAAATAGATACCAATACCATTATGAAAAAAAAACTACCGTACCTATTCACTGAAGTAACATAATTCTGATTAACAATCACACTCTGGAGTACATAATTATGAAAATGATTGAATTGAAACTTTTTACAAAAACATTTTGTATTTCTATCAGAAAAAAAAAAAATGAATTCAATATTAAAAATAAACAAATGCTGGTTAATATGAAAAATGGACATCTTTGATCAAAACAATACTAACTTTACAAATTTATGTACCATATCGAAATAGGACTGGCTATTTAAACTGAAATTTTACCACAATATAAATCAGCATTTTATAAAAGAAATTTATAAATTAGATCATAACCTGATGAATGAAAAAATTGCAACAAAGAACAAAATTATAATTTGGCGAAGAACGAAGTCTGCGTGACCATAATCACAAAATTCAATTACGGTACATTGTATAATACACAATAAAAATAGTAATTCTATTGAAGTGATTTAGTTTAAAGTGTTCTGATATTTTTGGAACCACAATATTGTATTCACAAATCCATCTGCTTCAGCATCCACTTTGCTCAAAGTATGATTGTTGTCTTTGTATAACAACACTTTACATTCCTTACCGAGAGCTCTGTATTTTTGTGCCCATCCTTTACCTTGTGAAGGTGGGACTCTCAGATCACAATCTCCAAGCATAAGTAATACAGGTGCTTTTGCTTTTTCAATGTGGAAAATGGGAGACATACCCAGCATAGCGGAGTATGAATCTGTGCTTGGTAATGTCTTGAAATGAAACTCTGTTCCACGTTCACAATAACACCAATCTGGTATATCAGTTGAATCAGACATGAGAGCAAGGTTTACCACAGGATTTCTGACTACTGTAGCAGAATAAAAATCTGGAAATTGCGAAATTAAATGCAATGATAGGAATCCCCCATGTGATCCACCCGTTACAAAAACTCTAGTAGAGCCCAATTCTTCTTTCAGTTTTTTCGACACTTGATGAACATCGCTGACATCTTGTTTCCCGATTCTACCTGGAAGAGAGTAGACACCATCATTGCCGAAACCAAGAGAGCCTCTATAATTTATGTTAACAACAGTAAAGCCAAGTTTGCACATGCCAACAAAACTGTTCAGAAAACCAGCAGAACTGTTAGAATGCGGACCACCATGTGGAAATACCACCAATGCTCTGTTATTTGCCTTCGGTGTCATTGGCTGGTATAAAATATATTCAATATCAACATCAGGATATTGTGAATTCTCTAATTCCGGCGTGAATGAATGAACAGACCATTTCATGTCATCAATCGGTTTACAAGGTTGTATGACAGTTGTCCAATTCATATCTTTATCTTTTTCAAATTTTGCAATTCTTAGTTCTGGAGGAATGGTTGGGGTAGAATGACTTACAACAATGACATCATTCTTTACATCTAAGACAGATGTATTACCTGTAGAAGTTAGTCGCTTCACTTGACTGTTCTTAAGATCTACAACCAAAGCAACAGTGTGAGATCTCCAGATACTTGCTAAGAAAATATAATTGCAATCAATACTCCAACAATTGCTTGGTAAATTCATAAAGTAAAGACCAGGAAAATCATTCTCAGATTTAGAAGACTTTACAAGATCGATGATGACATTCTGCTGTGCAAGTTCTTGAGAGTCGTCTTCCCATGATGGCAAGTTTAGAGACATAAGTCTAGAACATTGCATGTGTGGCCCTCCTACACGATTTTCCACAAACACAATTGTATTGTCCTTAGGATGCAAACGTGGGGATCGAACAGATTGGTCATCTCCAGACAATATCTTGCAGTTCTTTTTATCTGTATGTAAAAAATACAAGGCACATTGACGAATAGGGCAATAACGAAGACCAAGTCTGTATGGTTTTTGCATCCATCCAATAAATATAACAGATTCACAATCATGATGCCAAAAAGCCTGGCCAGCTGAGACATCCGGAGGGATAACTTCGGAAAAAACTGTGATTTCTTTATTTGACAGATCAAGTACACATACAGTAGGTCTGTGAGCACCATCCATCTGTTCGCCCCATGAATCGTACATGACATGCTCATTTCCAGGCTCACAGTCATCCTCTTTCTTGCTAGTTGATTTGAAAAAAGACTTTGTCTTAGGTTTCTTAGTTTCAGCAATGTATAAAATCTTCTTTCCATTTTTTGACCATTCTAGTGAACCAAATTGATCATTACTGATCACGTCACCATGCTTATCAATATCCTTTAAATTAATATTCAAAATTTTTTTGAATTTGTCCCATACCTCTATGTATTGAACCTTCTTATTGTTCTTGTCCAATACTTCTCTAACTATGGCTTTCATATTTCCACAAGAAGAATATTTTACAAGAAGCTCTTTGGTCAACTCATTTGGAGGAAATTGAGTGACATCTTTGATGATATCACCGTCAATTTTGAAGCAACAAGACTTAACATATTTTATGTTTTCTTCTCTTTCAAGATCACGTTGCTGCCAGACACTCTCAAGGTCATACTGCGAATCCTCATCTTTCCATATATTGCAACTCAAAATGGTTGGTATTGCAGCAATTTCTCTGTAAACATCCACAACTTTTTCCATTTTTATATCCATCTTTTTTCTGGATTCGTATCAGTATTTTAAAAATATCATGAACTATTAAAAAAGAAATATCACATCGAGTTCTATGATAGTGAAATTAATACAGATAATAAATATTATTGCCAAGGGTTTATTGCAAGATTTTACTTCACATCCACCTTGGGAGTTGCTTAAAAATAATAATTATTAATAACCGAATTAGAGCTAAGATCTTAAGCCCAACCTGAAATTCGGGCTGGGCCTGAAACGTCAATCATTATGTTCGGGTCGGGCTTCTCTATCTTTGACTTTTTTTTCAAACGAGGCGTTTCGGCCGTGTTTTGGCCACAAGAGACCATGGTATGCAAAAAACGAAAGTTGCCTCATCAACATGACACATACAGACACATTTGCAATGACAATTCAAAGAACTCCTAAATAAAATATGAAATTTTGAGTTTGCTTCGGGCTCAGGCTTGCAAATCCATGACCTCATAAACCCCTACGGTACCTACAAACCTGACTACGTCCTTTGACAACACCTTTTAAATCTAACATCTGTCAGTCTGTATGTTTTAAACCTTACTCGTGGTTTTGCTCGCTTTCCTGATTCTGTAATCAGTTTTATTTTAACAATTTTGTTTTATCGGTTTTTATGCTGACTATGGAGCCAAAATAAATACATAAATGCAGATCAGCAGGTACCGTACCTACTATAAAAAAGTCCATCCACGAATGGAAGCATGTGTTGCCTTACTGTGATGACGTCATGTTCCAGATACGATTCCTTGCGAAGTAAACATTCTCCCAAGCCTGTGCCGCGATATAAAATAAAGGTTGAGAACCACTGCCCTAGATGCTCTAATATTTGTGCGTCCGATATTACATGAAATAAATACGTGATTTTATTGTCAAGCAAGGTATTCCAATCTTTTACCTTATCCCGGGATCATACGGCTCAATCCCGGGATATCCCCATAACCGGATTTCGAAAACTGGTCCCGAAATCCTAACCCTAAACAGAAGAGAGTGGGTCCGAATATTTAATCAACGTTAGTATCTATATAAGAAACTTCTTACACAAATCTTCTGTTGGTGTTGGTATAGTTTTGGGCTTCACTTATGCAGCACTTCCATCAAGGACTTATTATGAAACTCGATTTTATGAAATAGGAGTACGAAAACACGCACATGAATTACCAAAAACGTGTAGGATGATGCGGCAAATTATTTTACGGTTCCAAAGAGTTTGGAGGGAGTTCCACTCTGATAGTGTTATATTTTCCGATCAGCTTTCAACCACATTAAGGCACTTTTACACTGCCCCATTGTTATTTCTAGGTTTTTATTTCAAGTCTGAAAGATTTTGTTTTCTCAACGGCACTGTAGGCGAGAAACTGTTTTATTAATTTTTATCACTGATATGTTAGCAGTTTTATTTTATTCGTGCCTTGGCGGGCCACGAATAAAACGCGGTGGATCACTTTGTTACCCGCGGGTCAGTGGTTCGCCATCCCTGCTTTGGGCCCAAAAAGTTTGATCGATTCTTGTGCTACTGATGTTCTAACATTCGAACAAAAAAACTGTCGTGACTTCTGCTATTATTATTCGCGAATACGCGATCAAAGCAACTAGGGAGTGGACCAGTAGATGTTAAAAACATCAATGTGCTAATCTCAAGTATGAGTAAATCTTTAACACGTAGTAGTTTTTCACTTTTGAACAAATCCGCAACACTATCTCTCCGACCTCTATCAAAAGACATGATACTAAAGAACTGATTACACTTTGAATTTTTGCTATAATACCTTTTTGACCATGCATCCAGGCAGTGTTCCCTCTAAGAAAATTTCACACTGCGCAAATATTGTTTTTACTGAGCAAGACTGTTTTAAGGCTGAGCAGAATCCTAAATTATTTGCAACTTTTGTGAAATGTAGTAATAGTAGCTTATTATGTATTGTCGGAATGCGAACAAAGCACAAGTTTAACAAAAATAGCTTCTCTTTGTTTTCGTGCCTTTCCAAGGTTTATACATTTTGACCATGTTTGTTGTGTTTATTGCTGAATCAAGCGACAATCATCCAGAGTACAATACTTGATGTACAATCTCGACATTTTTGTTGTTGAAATATCATTGCTTTCATCAAAATCAGAGTATGCAATTTTGCTTGTCTTATGCTCCGCATGATTTCCTCCCTGGCGACGAAGTCTATGCTTATCAAAAATTCGAAGCCGTTATTTTTGCTTCACCACGAATGTGGCAATTTAGTGTATGTTGACTGACATGCGACTATTTATTAATTTGCGGGACAACAGCTTGGCACGTGGTGGAACACTATCTATGTGAGGCTTCATTTCACTTCGACGGGGCTTTCAAAACTTCACTTTCTTCAGCGGTCGGTATTGCGGTGAAAAAGTTCGAACAACCTCCTCTTGCTTCCACGTTTGGCTTCTGAGTTAATACATCTAGTGCGTTAATGTGCTTTTTATAATTTAAATGGCGTTTTAAATAGTCAACTTCTTATTCCCTCCCATGATTTTAATTTTCCAAATCACTATCAGGTGCCATTTCCCGACAAACTTTGTGGATTATCACATTCCTTGACGTGGAATAGCAATAAATTTCGCAAAGTTTAGCAGTTGTTTTAGCTTATGCATACCGGTATCAAGATTGCAAATTAGTGTCGAACACCTCACTGTTGTATTTAGCCATTCCACTTTAAAATTAATTTCCTTATTTTTAGCTTTACTTCCTTGAATAAACATTTCACTCACACGTCAGAAAAAGAAAACTAGTATATTATTGGTTTTGGTTAATATGCTGAATATGTAAACGCTTTTTTTTAGTAATTTCTGGTGAAACATACTTACAACATTGCTATATAACATGGGTATCATTCAGTATAAGCTCATGGCCACGTGTGTACCAATCTAGAGATTCAAGAGCCGACAGTGCTAGCACTCGCTTAAACTCGGCCCTTCTTCAAATTCCAACTAGTTTAGCCTGACCATACGGCTACGAGCAACCAACAAATTTCCTGTAACAAACAATGGGCACTAGCTTTGCAACATTTGATATCTATTCAAATTCTGAACCATCCCATATCTTCATCTGTTTGATTACACTACGGACAATAACAAGATTTTGCCGGGTCGACAACACGAAGTGCGCGCGATGAAAATTTTGAAAACCGACCCACGCTGGCATACAGAAATCAAGGTATTCGTGACAGACACGTGTGTGACATCACAATGCCTAGTGTTACCCAGAATACTGTACGCGTGAAACATAAAACGAGTATTCTAGTTGAGCGTTAATATAAATGACATATGAGCCACGATTTAAAAACGAAATGTTGCAGCAACTGCGCGAGAATGAGATTTTACTGCGCAAATGTTCTGGTGGTACTGTGCAATTGCGCGGCTTAGAGGGAACCTTGCATCCAAGTGTTTATACAATATCGTATATTACTTTCTATTCTAGATTTTAAACTAAGACATGCCCCCAGTTGGTATCAAGAATCACAACTTTGGCTTCCAGTCAAAAAAATTAGGACTTGATCTCAAGAACCAACTCTAATATAGAGATTTTCACCACAAAAACACTGCCTTGTTTAAAAATTAAACCCCTAAAAGTACCCCACGTCCCCACCTAACTTGAAGACCCCAGTCGTGGCACTTGCTACTAGAGAAGGGAAGCTTTATGAGATCGTTTCACAGTGCATGCATATTCTAGACATTTTTTAATAAAAAAACGAATCTTTTATTTTAAATTTCTTACAGGTTATATATGCAAAGCATCGAGATGATACATTCCTTCCAACTTGTTCATTGCAACTTCTTTCCCGAAGCACAATACCTAAAACAATTAAACACCTTATCTGGCATTGGATATTTTAAAGTGAATCATTCACCAACGAATTCCTCTAAATATTGTCCTCAAGAGTAGAGTGTCTATTAGTTGTTTGACAATCCAAACATAGTTTTCAACTGTCGAAAAATATGCATCTTTCAGCTTTATCGCCCTCGTCCATATTTGTCATCAGTTAATTGAACTTCAATTCTTCGACCATCAACTTCTGCACCATTAAAATGTCCTACAGCCAGAATTGCTTCTTCTGGTGTTTCATAATGAACAAATCCATATCCTTTAGAACGGCCATTATCGGTTTTAATGTCAGCAAATGTTACGTTTCCTGTCAGAAATAGAGGATTATGAAGGCGGGGTTACATTGCATCCTGCCCAGCATGTTTGGCAAATAAAATATTGGAAAACATTTTAAACATTTCGAAATACAGAACACTCTCAAGTTGTAGAGTTAGTTGATCTAAAACAGGGGTTCCCAAACCGCGGCCCGCGGGCCAATTACGACCCGCGTAACGATTTAAAATGGTCCGCCGGAGTTAAGTGAAATAATTTAACGGTTAAACTTTAACCATGAATAAATACTAATACGTTTAACGCTTCATGTGTTTAGATACCGCCAATTGTTACATCATTGTCACAGTTTAAACACGTGTATATTCCTAACAATTCAATTATACCAGTATCTTACGTATACGTACCGACATCAGGACTACATACGTCCGTATTTTAGGTATCAGCCCCATATTAAGAAAGCTTAAAGATGTCAAAAAACGAAAACTAGACACTGAAAACAGACGTTTTTGAAGTAAATGGCAGCGTTCTTATTTCTTTATTAAAAAAAATCAAACTTCAGCGATTTGTCTTCCTTGCCAACAAAATATGCCAGTTCTGAAGGAATATGGCATTAGATTTAGGCGCCATCATGAGACGAAGCATTTTTCGAATTATGATCAGTTGGTGCGCGTATTTCAAAATTCAATGCTAAATTCATACAAAAGTCAAATAAACATGTTTAAAAAAATGAATCTAATGAAAGTGAATCCACGGTGTTATCCAGTTATATTGTAGCCCATAAAATCACTAAACGGAATCGCTCGTTTGTTGAAGTGGAATTTTTCTGCGAATGTATGCTGCAAGTTTTGGAAGTCATTTCTCCCGATTTAAGAAGTTAATTTTTCAGCATCAGTCTTTCTAACAACACAATCATGAACCTTAACAAAACAAAACTTCGGTCCGGACTGCATGATAGATAATCACTTGAATGCGCTGTTGCGAATATTATGTACTGAATTAGAGCCACGTAAAGAACATCTGCCCTAATTACACCTACAAAAATATATAATTGGTATATATAAAAATAAACAACCAAATTATGTTGGCATTTCGTTTTTTTATACTTATATACATTGGGATGTTTTTTGTGCAACAAAACAAGCCATAAGTAGCCTGATTTATACGAAGCCGTATATTCCAGATGAGCAAGTAACTTCAATCAGTTAACTAACTGCGATGCTAGGTGTAATAATATCAAGCTTGCAGTCTATTTTAGTGCCTAATTTTTAAAATTTTCTCAGCCGTGGTGTCGAGCTCTTTTTGTCGCTCACCTTTTCTGGCCCGCGAATATCCTTTAGCTTAGAAATTTGGCCCGCGGTCAATCAACTCTGGGAACCCCTGATCTAAAACAAGGGTTCCCAAAGTTGATAGGCCGCGGGCCAAAATAGTGAGCAGAAGCCTATTTGCGGGCCAGAAAAGGCGTGACAGCACGGCAGGTGTTTCGGGCACACTAAAGCGCCTGAGAAAATTGGCTACTTATGGCTTGTTTTGTTACACAAAAAAAATCCCAATGTATACATAAAAAAAAACGAAATGCCAACATAATTTAGTTGTGTATTTTTATATATACATGTTATTAGGGTTGGCTCGAAATCAGATGTTCAAACGTGGCTCCAATTTGCTACATTGTATTCGCAATAACACATTCAAGTGATTATCTCGTCTGTCTGAACAGAAGTTTTGATTTGTTAAGGCTCATAATTGTGTTGTTAGAAAGACTGATGCTGGAAAATTTAATTTTTATTTCAGGAGAAATGACTTCTAAAACGTGCAGCATACACTTGAGAAAAAATTCCTTTCAGCAAACGACAATTCTTTTTAGCGATGTTGTGGGCTACAATATAACTGGCCAATAACGTGGATCCAATTTCATTTGATATTATTTTGAACATGACTTTTGTATAAATTTAGCAATGAATTGAATTTTGAAATACGTGCGTAACTGATCACAATTTGAGGAATGCTTAGTCTCATAATGGCACTTAATATTGAATTTCTTTACAACTGGAATATTTTGTTGGCAAGGATGACAAATCGTCTGATTCTTTTCAATAAAGAAATGAGAACGCTGCCATGTCTGTTTCCTGTGTCTAGTTTTCGTTTTTTTACATCTTTAAGCTTTCCTAATGTAGAGCTGATACCTAAAATAGTGCCATATGTAATCCTAATACCGGTACTTATAATTGAGATACCGGTATAATTGAATTGTTACGAATATACACAAGCTTAAATTGTGATAATGATGTAACAATTGGCGGTATCTAAAAAGCAAAAAGGTAAACTCATAATGTATTAAACATATTAGTATTTATTTAGTTAAATTTGGCGGGCCATTTTAAATCGTTAAGGCTCGCGGTTTGGGCACTCCTGATCTAGCAGTTGAATATTCATGAATACTGTTATTGTACAAAACCAATTAAAGTTTTGATGTTTAGGCTCATGTCTTTGTAGATATGCTAGTGCTCAAGTTTTTTTCAGGACAACCCCAAGCACAACTTTCAAGTGTCCAATGTGACCCCAGGTCAATATATATATTTTTCATGAAACTTTAAGAGCTTCTTTCACTGGACTTTTGAGTTTGGTCATGTGGTGGTATTAAGTGAAATAAACTAAAACCAAACAGTGATTTCACAATAAGCACGTACATTTTCTATAGCATGAGCATAGAGCGATGCTGATGGGCCTGTTTTACAGTAAGTCATGGTGCAAACTGCTAAATTTAAATAGTTTGTCAAATCTTAAGATGATTTGTACATCCATCCTCTACCATACCTCAGCGACCCCATGACCTGTTTGCGACCTTACCTACCTATAACTACGACCCAATTTGGGGTCCCCTGTGCTAGTGTTTAACATTTTCATGCGTTGCCTCATGTGCTTAACATTTTTATGTGTTACCGTATGAAAGGTATAAAATTAGTTTTAGGAAAATCAATAGTGCCCAAATTTCAACCTCAGATAAGCTAAGAATTAGGTCTGAAACATACCAACTCTAGAAAATATTTCTTTCAGCCTTTGCCATTGCAAACTGAATGGAAGATTTCTGATGAAAAGTGAGGTTTTTGGATCCCTATCACCACCTCTTCCATGATTGCTACTCCTTTTCAGTTCATTAGCTGAGCTCAAACTTCGATCCAGATCCCGTATTCTGCTGTCAACACGTGCTATGTCCCTGAACATTTACGTTAAGTTACAAAAATAGATACGGGTGAACATGCTGCCAATCCATCCTTTATTTTATCAAAATAAGGATGGTGATAAGGGTATAGTATCATTGAGCTAGACTGCTAGAGTATGGTAATTACCAATAAAATACTTGTTGTCTCAGTGGTAGTGACGAAAAATTTATCATCATGAAATGAAAATTTTCAGACTAAGAAATGCATCATAGACAACAGGATATGAGATAAAGCAAATGAAAGGATATTCACTAATGGTTGGAGAAGTATATGAAAAATGCCATTTCTTACATTTCTATTCGATCTCTATCTGTCATTTGTAATCCTGTCGATCGGCTACCATTACTGTATTGTTGATTTCCCAGTCTATTACTGCTGCTTGAAGAATTTCCTCTCATGGAATCATAGACATTGGTACCTATTTATAAATATACATTAAGTACATGATGTACATGGTCAATACCTCAGTCAATTGGAACATATTCCAGAAAGAACAAAACTTTTGTGTAAAGCATCCAAAATTACTAAACTTTTGCGTACAAGACAATCATACTCTAAATACACTTTTTCATTTTCGTGTATTAGTAATTGAAGAATTTATCATCTATCGTTTTGGGTCACTCTGTATGATAGCACTGTCTAATTATTCCTTAGGTTGCCTAATAGACAGGTAATCCACAAGAATCTGATATGTATTATAGATGGAAATGTATGATATTTTGTGCACCTAAATATGAACCTTCCAGGTAAGAAGATGCAGCACACACTTCATAACAAGCGCAATCAAAAAAGTCCATTTTCACAGCAAATATTATTATACCGTACTAATCAATTATTTATTTTATAAAAAAATCTGGAATAATCAGCTATTGTCTATGATTCCAAGAAACTTACGTGAATGCTGTGGTAGTAAGCCAGAATTCATAAGACTTGTCAAGCTTGCAGCCAATGGTGATTGTTTAGAGTTCAAAGAAGAAAGTTTAAAACCGAGAGAGTCCTGAACAGGTGGTTGATTCAACGGCTTAAGAAGACCTGGTATTCCAGACAAGTTTCTTCCAGCTAAAAGGAAAGGAAATCATAAACAGTGTTCACTTTCAGTATTAAAACTATGTATAGTACAGGTAATTTAATATTATTGTTATAACATTCAAAGTCTTATCAGGGGTGTGCAACTTTCAATACAGGAAGGCCAGATACAAATAACTGGGGGAAACTGCGGGCCGCACCTTTACTTAACATAGGCTTTCTAATAGTTGTTATTGATCTTATGACATAATTGTTCGCTTCGCACAAGCTCAGGTATATATATGCTTTGCACGAAAGTGATTGGAATTACTCGCACATACTAGATTAAACTAAATTAAAACTTATTTCGCGGGCGGCACACCATTTGAAATTGGCTGTAGGTTGCACACTCCTGCTTTTCATCAATATCGAAGGGTTCATGTCAAAATAATCAATGCCGATTGGAATTAAAAACGTTAGAATAAGAACTTGAAAAGTAGTCAATTTAGTAGAAATTTCAATATCCAAATCATCTTGCTTCAAAAAATTTATTCTGCAATTAATCGATTTTGAAAAATGTTATTCGGCAAAAGTTTTTTTCTGTTTTTTTTTAACAAAGGCATTGTTCGTGTCAAGTTTCAATAAACTTGACATAAATCAAGATTTAAACAGTTTCAAAAAAACCCACTAGTTTCAACTGATTTTTAAACATATATTTTAAGTTATAAGTTTTTTTGAACCATCCTCTCATAATGCTTGTGTCTCTTCTTTAAGAATACACAATGTCAATTGCCGAAATTCACTGGCCTTTTAGAAATTATGCGTCAAAATCATAAAACGAAAACTTGATGGCCATACAGACAATATATTTAAAAAATACATACAATTCAAACCACTTTCAAGGAGTTTTTTCTTAGCTGCCAACATTTCTAGTTCCACAATATCCAAGTTGCTTTGAGAAGGTGCTGTTAAACAACATCAATATAGACTACGACATCAAAATAAATTTTGCATTTTTCAACAAGGTATATTTAAACTGAAGGAAACTATAATTGGAATAAGCAAAAGCCTACTGCAATAGTTATCACTTTTCCTATGGCAGTTGTGAAAATTACTGTAATTTTGAGATATTCTCGGTCTAAAAGCAACTTGATGGATGGGCTTCTGTTGGAATTTTTCAAGATTTATGAAGAATTACTCATGATTACATCAAGATTTACAATATATGAATCTGTAGCAATAGCTATTGATTATGTATTATTCTAAGGAAATACATTGGTTTAATGACTGAGGGATTTAATATGTTATATGCCAATGCATTTAATACACATAATATGAATAGTTAGATGGGAGTGAGTTGGAAAATTTGTAGACCTTCAGGAGTAAAAAGAAAAAAAAATATCTACCAGTGAGAGATTCCAGTTGGGGAAAGTCAGTGGAGCAAATTAAAACTTGTTGTCTCAGTGGTAGTGACGAAGATAATATCATAATACAAAAGATATTCTTTTGTCATATTACATAGGAATGCATCATTGACAACATATATTTTTAATGATACGCAATGGTTAAAAACACCAACCATTGAGACTGAGTGACTGTACCGGTATAACAAATGAAATTTTCAAACCTCTCAAAGGGTTATCTCCAGATGCTAAAGCATTTAAGTTGAGGGCTGGACCAAGGCCTTGTAAACCACTGGGCAACTCCTTCTTGGATGATCCAACACTTTCTCTATCCAATCTAACCACCATTGGCCTGTCATACAACTTTTGATCATTGAATAAGGCTGAATTTGGTTTGTTAAAGAAAATACAAAATACAAAAAAAATACAGCATCGAAAATATAAAAATGCTACCAATCTGCTGTTTGGAATGAATGTACGGAAAGGATACAGATTGCTTGTAGTGCTTCAAGTGGAGTTTCATAAGTAATCGTTGCCATTCCTCGACTTGTGTTATCTTGGTTCAACTGCATATCAATTTTCACAATAGTTCCAGCAAGTTTGAAAACTTCTTTCAGTTTTGAGTACGATACACTATAATCGAGCTGAAAGAAATTTTTTTTCCCAGTTATTTCATGTAATTGTGCCGAAACTGGAATTATAAATTCAGCAATCACCCATAAAAATTTCGACAAAGGTGTTCTCTGCATCTTGCAGAATCAGTACGTTGGCAATCTGTAATTAAGGTACCTTACCTCCAAAAGGTCACTTTAATATTACTGGTAGTGGTATATATTTATGAGATACCAAATTACTCGATGTTATGTGAGGGTTTTATACAGTTTATATATATATATAGGGATGGGCAATTTAGAATAATGAATCCAGAAGGATCTGAATCTCAAAGTATTCGAATCCAGAAGGACGCATGAATTTTTATATTTCCTGCTTCTAATTTATTAATCAAAGACGAGTGTTTTCTTTCACATCAAAATCTTTTTGTTTGATTATATTCGCATTTCCGTAAAGGCGGCAGACATCAAACACGGTAATCTCACCCCGCATATTCAGAATAAGAAGGCGGTGATGAACACCTCGCGGCGAAGACTCGTTATTACTTTCTAGTTAGCATATAATAATAAGTATTGATGCCGACATACAACTTACATTGGCAACAAAAATAGTATCTGTGGGCTGATTTCCATGAGTAAGTTCTAATATCGTCTGATTAATATTTCTTCCAGAACTAAAAGAACCCATAGATTGCTGTCTATCATCTCGGTTAAAATGAGACTGTGGTTGTGGGCCATGTCCAGGCATGGGTGGAGGTAATGACATCAAGGACTGAATGTGGCCTGGTCTGTCATGTGGACCTCTGCCCATTTGATTTTTATTTGCATCACGCCGCATAGATCTTTTCACAAGGTCACCAAAAGGATCCTAAGATAGCAAAAAAAACATTTAAAGATGATTCCTGAAAAGGCTAGAAGTAGTGAATTTTGTTTAGGAGACTATAAAACTAACATTTCTATTATTTATAAATTACTTAATCTTTGATTGTAGCTACGGTATATGGTTAGTGTAGAAGTCAAATGAGGTTGTCTCAGTGGTAGTGACGAAACATATAATTACACCATTGTGGAGTTTCTCAACCCTTCTGCAATATTATGTAATACATCATCGACAACCAGCAAACTTTTCATTGAGAATCCAATCTAACATAGGCTTTCTAGTAATGTTGAAGGCTCAATACATACATAAATGATGCAACTGAGCAGTAAAGACTAAAGCATTCCTTCCTTATCCATTCTCATCAATCCAGTATTAAGAGGGATCGGATAGGTTAGAATAATGATTAACGTAAATACTAAATATGATATACCTCTTTCACGACTAATTTTCTATCATTTAACATGTATCCATTCATTTTGTCAACGGCATCTCTCATCAATTCCTTTGTTTTAAATTCGACAATCCTGCATAAATACGAGTACAAGATTTTTATTCCTATTCAATTATTTATTCATGTCAGGTACCACTTCCCTTGTAATCATTGAGTTAACGGATTTTGATGTGATCAAGGAAGCAATTGAATCAACGGCTAAAGTATATCCATTAGAAAATGATCAGTATGAAAAACAAGAACAGCACAAAGTTCATCAGGGACCTGAAGCGCTACAATTTCAAGCCTTAAAAATCAGAAGTCGAAATGGTCAATCAATGGGTCAATAAGAAATTCGAGCAAATTGATAAGGCTATATGATAAAAACTGATGAAGGTAATTTGGCTCCCGTACTTTGACTACAGTAGCAGAGGGAAAATCTGGCCTTCAACGACAATCAATGCTATAAGAAGGCAGTGCAAGTTGAAGTTTGTATTTATCTAGCTCCACACAAGAATAACCCAAAATCAAAATTAACTTTGGAATCACCAAAAAGCAAAACAGAACAAGATATTTATTACGGTAGATAAACCAATCAACGTCAAAGTAGAGGTTGGAAATACTGATGAAAAAAAAACCCGACCAGGTCAGATGAGGTCAAACAATAGTTTCCAAGGCATGAAAAATCTTGCTAAATATCAACTTTGTAGCAGCAGCAAAATCTGAATAGCCCACAATAAAGACGTGTTCTAAACTTGACACTGTGTAGTCTGAGGTTTCCATGATTCATTTCACCTTGACAATATCAAATCAACTAAACATATTTTCTGTCAACAATGCAGTTGCTAATTCACATTGAATTTCTGTGCATGTGCTCTAATTTGATATTCAGTGAATTACTTCACTTTGGAACCCAGACAGGATATACCCCAGGATGAAAATATTACGAAAAAATTATCTCTGACAAAGTTACTGACCATTAGAGCAAAGTTTACAATCAGTATAGCAGTCAGCAGTGGAATAAAAGCAACAGAAACATCGAACAATGTCTCAAATATGGACTTACTCTCCATCCATTACTTCTCATTGAAACTCGAAAGCAAATTTTTATCATAACATATCAATGTAACTTACCCATATCCCTGAAGAAATGAATGAATTTGAAGAATGAATTTGTAAGTTCATCAGCAATACAAGTTGAATCCAAACAATGTGAAACAATTCGAGAAAACAAAAATACCACAAAGTTAAATAAGGAATTCAGTGAATTTCTGAATTATTATGCATGACATAGCGCTTGATATTTGGTGAAATCAACTCAAACAAGAAGTAAATCGAATACTTGAGTATGCTCCAATAATATCTTTACTTCGTAAATAAATTACTTCAATGAAATAAACAACATACAAACACAAAGGTAATTTCATAATCTAGCTTTTGACATTATCAAGGAAGATATGAATGTAGTATTCTGACTTGTTACAGAAACGGTATCCGAGATATACCATATGGGAGGTCAAGATAACATAGCCGAACAATCAGAAAAACAAAACTGTTTCTTGAGCATCGATTCAGCAGTAAATGATAATATTTCCATATCCTTTCGATATTTTCAAATTTGGAACACAACAAAAGTGGACACCTTTGGTAATATGATAAAAGTATAGTCTGGGACAATATTGAAACCAATGCATATCTAATGGCAATCCGTTAATCCGTGGGGAAGGGGATGGTTAATTAAGAAACACCCATTAAAGATATCTTGTACACAATCTCATTGTCACAATTATTCGACATAAGCAAACACGAATTTGGCAAGCAAACATGTAAAATATTCTTGGCCTTTTTCATAAGTCAAAGTTTCTGAGTGGAAATATAAATCGATTAATAAATTTCCAAGCCAAAATTATATAAAAAAAATGAGAAAACAATTTCATTGCATTATAACGAAAGTAATTTCAATTTACAGGTGATTATGAGACTAACAAAGTTAAACAAGTTGTACCTAGTATCTTTCACATTTAAGAGAAACACCAACAAATCAAATTGCGAGAAGCAAAAACCTTCCAATAAGCCTTGCTGTTCCAAGAGAGCAAATTAAAATGTCAATAATCATTAGAGACCAATTCAAATGTCGTGCAATATGACCAGCACTTTCAGTAAAACGAATTATGAAGATTACCAATCCTTCAACACCAGTTTTCTCTACAAGTTGAAATAATCGCTGTGACTATTTTGGAGGTCTTAATAACAAAATCTGATAACAAGCCAAAAAGCAATATTGAGACATTGGCCTGTAAAGCCTCTAACATGTGTCTGCTTGTAAAGTCAGCACTCTGCTACCTTTATTCAACAGTAAGAAATTTACTGACCTTCGAATTACCAGCTTCATCATTCATCAGTTCGACATAAGTTACAGAATCTGTACCAACTGCAGACAGTAGAAACAAAAAACGATTGAAGGGCGATATACGAGGGTAAATAACAGCGTTATTCAATTGGGGGAGTGGGACCAACTTTTGAAACTGGGAAGGGGAATTTAGATTCACCAATGTCGGTGTGTTTTCACTGCTTTCAGCATTCTTTTTTCAATTGGCATCGTGCTTTGCTCATGGAGTTGGGGGATGTGCAGCCGTATTATACACTGATCTATTTCTCAACGCATATGCTACTCAATACATATACTTTTGTGTTACATTGCTGATACCTATTCTAAAGTTCGTCAATAGCTGCAGTAATGTGCAGCGACTTTTTAGATTAGTGTTTGCAAAGAATCGAAGATGACAGTTGGTAAGTAGGAATTTTTCAAAGTTTGAAAGTTGGTAAGTTTTAAGTATGGTATATTTCTAGAACATTGTAGAGCTGAAACAATGTAGAAAAAATGCATATTTTTAGAATTTTCTTTGTACAAAAGAGCATTCATTTTCAGATTTTCATGAGGGCAATTTGAACACACTCTCCCTAAAAAGTGAGAAGTATATAAAGAATATGAGTACACTGGAATATAGTAATGTGCGAAACAATTTACAAACACCCTATGTATTGCAATGTCATGTTCCAAATCGATGCCATGAACAAAGTTTGTAATTTATTCAACCAAACCAAGCACCTTAGAACTAAGACTGTGTGAGTCCGACCATGGAACATTATGGGGTGAATTTTATAAAACATCACCAGGGAAATTAGATGACAGAACGACTAAATGGCAACTGTAATCAGACTAAAAAAATAAAGATTAATTACTTTGCTCTCGAAAAAGATCCTTGAGAATCTGCCATTTTTGATCATATGGAATATTGCTCACAAATATTCGATTATATGGAGGATTTTTGTTTCCTCCAGGTCTGCTTCCAATAATATCTTCTCTTGAATATGGTGTTGGTCGAGATCTCTCTCTTTCGCGACGTCGTTCTGCATGTCTTGGACTTCCGTCGCTACAATAAAAAACATGGTTGCATAATAGTTGAAAAAAAAATTGAGTTTCAATATTTTGAAAGTTATGGTACCATAGTCATAATTAAGTTTATTTTTTCCCATTCCGTAGAAAATAACATACGAAATTACCAAAATACAAAACTGAAAACCATTAAATTTGAAGATCAAATCGTTAGATTAGGTTACATACTGAAGTGGAATGGATCAAACACTCACTTTCTGCCATCCATATCCTTGTATTCGTAGTTTTGCAGAATGCAGCAGATACTAGACTATTTTAATTTGCCCTTTTCGAATAATTACGGTACTAGCACCCACCAGCAACTACTGGTAGTAAAAAGGCACTGGGATAGATTACAAAGTCTTATTGATAGGGAGAGAGAACCTTTTTGGACTACCGATACTGGTAACTTATGTACCGTACCTATTAAATTTGAAAAGAAGGCAAACAAACTAGTCAAATTCGCGGAAAACTACGATGTACGTGGATAAAATCAAGTCTGTACGGTAAACCACTTAGATCGGTCTTACTACTTACTGAATACAGCGCGAAACACCGCAAAGAGCGCAAAACAGCGCGAAACAGCGCAAAACAGCGCGAAACAGCGTAAAACAGCGCAAAACAGAGGGAAACAGCGCAAAACAGTGTGGAAACAGCGCAAAACAGAGGGAAACAGAGTGAAGCAGAAAAAAATTTTGCAATGAGTTCGGGACACCTTGTTTTGAGTTGGAGTACCACGGCAGCAAATTAAAAACACAAACCAACGTATGTAGCCAGTAATGCTGTAATGGCAGGTCTGCCCCTGCTGGTGACACATTTAGGGTACCATAATTTAGAACATTTTTCATATGGATATGGTTGGCTTTAGGGTTAGGGTTAGGTAAAAAGGGACCTCCAGAAGTATGTGCACCAAGATGGCGCACAACCTGAAAATAGTGTGTGTGTGTGTGTGTGTGTGTGTAGCGGATTCAGGTTGTGCGACATATTGCTGCACATACTTCTGGAGCACCAAAAAGGTAGATAAAATTTCGCATGATGACCTATAATCCGGTACATAACCTTGTAAATATGCCGGAAATAGCGCCATAAAACCATGGCGAGAGGCGCCGTGGTTCTTTCGTGGCAGGAGGTGGTAATGACTGCGTCTCCTGTTTTGCGCTGTTTCCCTCTGTTTTGCGCTGGTTTCCTTCTGTTTCGCGCTGTTTTCCTCTCTTTTGCGCTATTTTGCGCTGTTTCGCGCTCTTTTGCGCTGTTTCGCGCTGTTTTGCGCTCCTTGCGGTGTTTCGCGCTGTATTCAGTAAGTAGTAAGACCCAAAAATATCTTTTTTGATGCTTTAAAATTTTAGATCCACTTAGATCCCCAACCCGCGCGAACCCTGACTTCTCACAAACACTTGAGCGCTGAAATAGGGCAAGATATTCACGAAAAATATCTTTTTTGATGCTTTAAAATTTTATTTTGCCAATTGGCACTTACAAACTGTTCTACATGTTGATTCGAAATAATCTGATGTTTAAAAAGTACCCTGATGGTTGATTTCAGGCGCGCAGACAGGATTTTCAAAACGTGGTGTCAAAATAAAAAATTCCCATTCCCGTATGAAACAGTCGCCGCGATAACGGGCTCGTTGAAAAAAAGCCGAGTTTTCAGCGTTATAATGATTTAAATATCCAATCAATGACAACTACGAGAATTCAAAATGTCCTTCTATATTAATTTAATTGTGCCCAACATAACTCGCGGTTTCGTCTTCTTACGTCAAAATAAAAATATTACTCCTATACAATGAAAATACCTAAAAGTTCAGTAGTAAATCAAAAATACATATTCATCGCTTCGAAATACACACGCAACAATTGTCGCGATTACGCCACTTGTTAAATATAAAAATGTGTGGTAAACTACCCGACCCCTAACACCCCCCCCCCCCCCCCCCCCCCCCTCTAGCTGCGCCACTGGCTGATTTTTCCCAGTCAAACCAAATCTCCTCCGGAGACACAGTCACCATCAACGACTAAAATAACGTGACCATAGAGTTATGTGATTTGTAATTAAATTTTGGAAAAACGCCTAGCAAAATCACCGTATTTATGTCCTACGCCTGAAATCTTTGTGGGTGAAAAGTGGATGAGCGCGTTCAAAATCGTGAATTTTACGTCACATTCAAACATTTTGTTTATAACAAATGCATGCTGGAGTGCAGTATGTAAAATGTGCACAACAATTGAAATTTTAGCAGTCGCTCAAGTACTTTTCACTGAAGAGTAGGACATATATTTACGGTAAGACGGTAGGCTAGTTCTTGTCTTTCAGGCACGGTCGCAAACATTGACTCGTTTCCGTGGTGGTCCGCTATTCGTTGTCTTTACAGAATTTTGGTACAAAACGAATAACCCCATACCGGCAGTCATTTTGTCTTCCGGGAACGTTAGTTTAGTTGCAGCAATCAAAAAATAGTTCCGAAAAATCAACAACATGCTGGGCCAGTTGATTTTTTCGCACCGGTACATTCCTCCTTTTGAATATTTCACAACTCTTCATTCCTCTCACATTATGCATAAAAACTCTGCTAGTTGGTCATCCTGTAATGGACTACGCCTACGGTATTAGCCAGGAATACGCGCGACTTGCACTTTGCTTTTGGTACCCTGCGGCCTGCGATCGGTATGTTAGTCGTTGCCTGCGATCCAGGACTCGAGTCCGTGACGTCATAATGGGAACGCAAAATATAGGGGCAGGTCGAGATATCTTCCCTGTCTACCACCAAAGTCCTTAATTTTGTTGTCATTCCTAGCATTGTAACGTCGCAGCCATTACCTAACGGCCTGAAAGTCATGAAAAACAGAATTTTGATATACGGTACTGTAAATGGTAGAGATTTGCTTCTTCAATGTTGCACAGTTTCTAGCAGAAGTGTAAATGTAAACATTCGAAAAGTCACCCATTATTGACTTAGCATTCAAGTTAGCCAATAATTTTGCCTTGTGAAAAATTTGTTTCTTTCTGCTTTAAAAGGGATCATTCCTATGGTGACAAAACTCCTGAAAGACATACATAAGTCCCCAATGCAGAAAACAGCAGAAAATATTAAACGCTGAACATTTTATTTCATAGCTACTTTGTATACAATAAAAGTATGATGTTATTTTCCTGTAAAGATGTTTGAACAAGGTAAAAAATACTAATACAATAATTGGGACAAATGGCACAGCTATGTGCTAGGAACCGGTGTCAAAAAAAACAGTCACTGTTAAACTTTAACACAAACTGTTAGTACTATGTCCAAAAATTAGATTTTCAGAAACTAAAATCAGTGTTTAGGAAATTCAATTATTGTTGGATCAAACAGAGTTGACTGAACAATGACCTATATAAACTTTTGTATCTATGCTTAGAACATCACTACTGAAAAATTTAATACTAGAAACCGATATGTATGTCAGATACTATTCATATATCTCTAACATCACCACAACATACGGAACGCTGTTAAATCAATGGGAAATTTCCAACAATGGCATAAGCAACAGACATACCACATCAGGCAATTCTGTTCCCAAGTTGGACTCAATCTTACTACTTGAAAATTATTAGAAAATAAGCAATGAATTATTAAGCTCCTCCAAAAGTAATCATAGCCATCAAGCACACAGAACAAACTTAAAAATCTCTGCATGGCCAGAATAAGATTTATGTTGTGCATGATTAGAAATCCAGTCAACACAGCTGATGTAATTGTAATATAATTCCAAGGAATACATATGCAATTCAAAAATATCTCTCACAGAACATTTGACACGGTGCAATCTAGTGACTAAACTGGGAGTAGAAAAAGCAAAATTAACACAGGTATGATTCAGAAATTCTGACTGACCAGTGTCATAAAACGAACTGTCTGTCACACTGTTAGAAAGCACTTCGTATTTGTATATTCACTTAGATATAATATTACAAAGTTGAGAACCACATTGCATGCTTGGGAAATTACTCAAATCTAACACATATTTTACATTTCATTGATAAAAAACAGGTTATATCATATCACTTCCAACCTTTTTAATTATCGGTAGTCCAACAAAAATCAAAACAAGTCTGAACATAAATTTAGCAGTAACCTCAATCATTTGTAGAATTATGGTAAAACAAAAGTCTGTGCCACATGAAAGATATCCTGCACAGGGTTCAAATTAGGTAATTCCAATGTGAATGAATAGGTTTTAGCTTTACTGAATACAAGTTTTAGAGAGGACAGCTTGCATCAGAATTAACAAACAATCATGTCATAATTCCGAATGATTAAATATGAAGCACGTTTTAACTTATTTTTTTCATGGTTAATGCGTATTATTAAAGATTATCTTGAACAGTGTTGAAACAGACATGACAATGAACTTTGTTAATAATACATAGAATGATTTATTTTTCGAATTTCTACCAATGAAATTGGTCAGTTTTATTGGATCAAAATTTGAATAAAATCTGGTATAGATTACTATTTATCTGCATTATAGATTAATTCTTATTCATTTGGACTGAAGCTTCTGGAGTAAATTTTGATTATGAACATCGCAAGTAGAAAGGCGTTAGTTGACATATTTCAATGCTTGTCGAGATTCGAGCCAAGTCAAACAAGAAACTATCGAAGTAAGTTTAATTTAATTTTCAAAAGTCGATCAGCTAGCTTCAAGTGGGAAAGAGACTGTTGTCTCAATTTCATGATTGACAATCATGAAAATTCAATATGTATACATAAAGAACCACCTTTTATTGTTTAAAAATACTCATTCTATATGATTACTATTCTATGTATGTTATATTTATTTTAATATATCGGACACACAGCAAAGTCCTATTCACCAAGCATACAATATTTAAATAGCATAAATAACATTGTATGGCATTCGTACATAAAAAAATTAATTGAAATCAGAAGGTTAATAAAGACGTTGGTGATAATTGACACAAAGAACAAAGCAATGCTTCACAATCTCAAAAAAATAGTTTAACCAGGCCTTTGTTAAGATATGGAGAGGTTGAAGGTTTAGTTTGTGTTACAAAATGATTACATTTGAAAAAAGAAATGACTTTATATTTCATCTTGATTTACATGATTACAGAAAAAAAAATCTGACATATCCAAATAAATCATTTGGGCATTCAACGGCAGCTCAAATAAATGAAATTACCTTCTAGCAAATCATGAGAATACAATACAACGAACAGCTGTCATTCTCAATTCAAATTTTGAGTGATATTATTGAAACTAAAGCAATCATAATCAGATCATGTTTAATTTAAAATATACTTTGGTAAAAAAGAATGAAAGCATGGCACAATTACCCAATGACATATTAATCGCAAGGTAAAGTCGAAGACAAAAAATGATATAACAAAATATTTGAATCAACAGTTTTACTGTTTCATGAGTGGAATAGTGGAATTTTTGATGCACCATTCAGGACAAAAGACAATGATAAACGCTTATTTATTACCAATTTCATTATTTCTTTCTGAACAGAAGTCAATTTTAATCTCCATATATATTTGTATTTGCAGAAATATGGCACCAACCATCATACTATGTTGATAAATCCTAACTGCGAAAATCCTTTCAGTTATGCAAGCCACATCGGGAAGGAAGATAAACCAAATCGAGGCAGATATCAAAATAAAAAAATTTTCAAGGCCTTTAACGACATGACAATACTCGAACACAAAAATATGCATTTGAGAAAAATTGCATTTTGACTTACTTTTTAACATATTATTCAGGATTATTTTTCCAGTTAACCAAAAAATCGAATTCCTATATCATCCATGCTATATATTTCCATTAGAAAAGTTTTGACAAATTCACATTACTAAACATCTAGAAAACACTTGGAGAATGGCATATTATATTTTTGCCACCATCGATTAGTCATCTGGAGCAAGCACAAGGTAACACAATACCTGGTCTGGTACCAATCAAAAATCATTCTGCGGCGATATGTTAAGTCAATGTATTGACGGGAGAGGACGTCACACAGCTAATAATTACTTGTAGAAATCCAAAAAAATACTCGCCATGGTAGAGTTTATATTAAACAAGTACACAACATGATCCTCTGTTACCACCACTGGGCTTGCCAGGTTTTTTTGTAGGTGCACACTGCCGTCTGTAAAATAAGGTTCCCAAAACTTATTATACTTCAGGAAACAATGCTTTGAAATCTCACAGTGTGATGTATGAAAATGATAAAAAACGGTGATATTGGATTGCTTCAACATTTCTTAATGTCTACTGTAAGAACAACCTAAAAAAAAGTCCGAATAGAACAGATAAATAAACTTCACCCACCTTATTAATCGAACAACGTCTTGAAATCCTTTATCTACATTTTGCGGCGGATCCTTGGCACTCGTTTCGATATAAGGTATCTAAAAGTAGCAAGCAAGTTTTGTAGCAAGCTGCAAACAGTGGTTATTCATGGAATATAATTGGGAAGATTTAATTGAAAACAGGGTTAAAAAATTTCTAGTAAAAGCGGACAGTTGTTTTGTTTATGTGAATAGAGAATAAAATGATGAGGTATACGAACTTTAAATCTATCGGCCATATCTCTTCCTTGTTCTTCAGTTATGCTCCTTTGGTGAATTAGATCAACTTTATTCGCAACCAGAAGCATGGGAAAGGTTGTCCTAAAATATAGGACCATTTTTCAAGGTGATGGTATCAGTTAAAAAATTGAGTTAATTTGACTTAACTCTCTTGAGTTTCAAAATAATAGTTTCCTTCAATAAGAAAATGAATGGTGTTTTAATATGGGAGCATTCAAGATACAACGAAGTGCTTTATAAAATTTTCCATTCATCACAAATCTTGCAGGTTACAATTAGGGCTGTCCAAGCGAATCGAATATTCGAAATCGAATCGCAAATTATTCGAAGTGCTTTTCGGCCAATTAACGAATCCCTAAAATTTGGTACATAATGAGCCTCACAACCACCTTTGCAACACGTTTTTCACCGGGCAAGCAAAAACATGTTCCAATCGCTTTCTTTGCTGTAAAAAGGTCTCTCTCTCATATTGCCCGGTGACATGTAATTATCCATTTCATGCATGGTTTTAAATGAAAAGTTAGCAGTAACAATGATTTAATAAAGATGAGGTTTTTGAGAGAACACAAGAAGAAAAGAGCAAATTTTGTGTCAGCAAAAACGCCAGTTCTATAAATAGAATCAATTTGTAGCTGTTGAGTCAGTAATCATAGGAATATGGTACTGGACTGAAACACGTTTTGGAGGTCCAATACCTTTTTTCAATAGAATTTGTAATTTCCTCTAATGGCAATACTTTGTTTCATCCATTTATTGCTATGACAAATAATTGCACTCTTGTGAGTTGATGGCTGTTGTACAGCAACAATATGGTCATCAAATTATAATGTCATCAAACTAGCTCTGAATTTTTGAGTTCCCGAAATGCAATTTTGAATTTTATAGGCAACAGTTATATCTATATTAATAGTTGTTTATCATTTTACTGAAAAATAACACAAAGAATATCGGGTTAATAATACTAATGATAATAGGATTAAAATAGCAACTATGGGCATTAAAAGAATCTGTGCAATTTCCAACTCTTAAAACTTGTTAGTTTTCGAAACCCTAATTTTTTGACCAGTTCAAGGAGGCTTGTAATCTCCTTTTATAACACTGGAAACATAGGTATGCAAAATATTTGCAATAATTTAGATATAGCTGCACATACGTTATCACAATATTGAAGAGGAAGTTTTTATTGTACATTAGAGACAAATTTAGGATTGCGCAATAATATTCGATTATTCTGTTCGATTCGACAAAAATGTTCGATTCGAATCAAAAAAATATTCGATTTTGGACAGCCCTAGTTACAATGACTCCTCTTGAAATAAAAGTATGCACCATTAAATGGGTAATGAAGATAAAAAAATATGATAGAAAACAAAATATTTAAAATAAAAACAATATATTTTTTCAAATATGAATAAAGAAAAGTTATGTGTATGAATGGAATTTTTTTACAAGCTCTTTTTTACATACTTATCTTTAACACGCAATATCAATTCATGAAACTGAGGAACATTCTCATAACTTGATTTATCTGTTACACTGTATACGATGAGAAATCCATCACCTGAAAAATATAAAAATGTTATGTGCTAAATTTGTCTAGATTCCTATTATATTCACATTTTAGTATTCGACATTTAAATCTAGATAAAGAATATTGAATGTAATTTTGCCATATTTGAATGCCTTTTTGTCGTGAAAATCCAAATAGGTGCCATATAGTGCTTTTCTGAACCATTGGACATGAAAGATGAAATAACATACCCGTTCTCATATATTGTTCTCGCATCGCGCTGAATTCTTCTTGACCAGCTGTATCTAACACTGTTTGAAAGTAAGTTATATTACAGGACATTAACAGCAGATTTCCAATTAATAGGAATAAGAAAATGCCTAAAAACACTTCAATGCAGTGAAGACCACATAAATTAACTTTATTAAAAAACTGAGAACAAAAACTGCTTACCATCCAGTATACACCATTGTCCATCGATGTCTGTATGTTGAATATAGGAATCTTCAATTGTAGGATCATAATCTTCCACAAACATTTTTTGAAAAAATTGAATTGTCAATGCGCTTTTCCCTACACCACCATCTCCAACAACAACAAGTTTATATGTTGTTAAATTTTCATTGTGATTGGGAATGGTTGCCATTTTGATTTGTTTCAGTTGAATATCTTTATAAAATGTCCACTATATTTGCAAATCTTTGTAGGTATTCTGCAAGCTGGGTCGACAGGTACGGTACTCAGCTGGTTCAATTTAAGTTGTCATGTTGATTTAGTAAACAATAGCTTATATTCTGAAAGTAACAATATGATGGAGATTCATTGACCGTTTGGAATACTGTAATATAAAATATCGATCATCTTCCGGTAACTACGAAGCTAAACCAACTGTTCTATAAAGTTCTTAATGCAGTGATGTAAAACTTCATGATTATGAAATCTTATTTAATCAACGGCATTAAAAACATCTCTCGGTTTGATTAATAGTCAGTAAACATTTGGTGTCTAGGCGCAGTCTGTCAAACAGTCAAAGTCAATTTCTGATCTGAACCCTCGCGTAATATCTGGATTGCACGAGTAATCGGCAATAACTCTCATATAACCTTCTCTCAATAATTAAAGTCAAGTACCGTAAAATTTGTACCATCATAAATCTTTTTTTTTTTTTAAATGGATCCACAATGTGGATTATTCAATATGTAAATAATAAATAAATTAAATATAAATAAAGATATATTGTGTACCGCAAGTGAACAAACATATATATCAGTAATATCAAGATAATTCCATCAGATATAATATTCCATATAATCCAGGGAGTTCCAATAATTCATTGTTGATTTCGTAATACAAATTACATAGTTTATTTTTATTTATTTAACATAGTTTATTTTTATTTATTTAGCATGAAAAAACATAATTTTATAATTATTCACAAGTTATTACAAATCATGGCAAGTTCTTTTATATGACAAAATTCCTTTCTCACTTTTTCTATATTTCTTCTCATTAAAAGTGAGTTCCTAATTTTCATAATAACATTATTTATGCTTGGGTTATGATTTTGAAATATTACAGCGTTACGTTCCAACCAAATTTTATATCTTGCTGTACAAAATAACAATATAATAGCATTACGTTGTATAATGGATAAATTTGTATAACAGTGGTCATTTAAGTCCAATAAAATGCAAGTTTTATAATTATTTTTTATCACACAGTTACTCATTTTTAATGCCACAGAAAAGATATAATCATAGACATTCTGAGTAAAAACACAATTTCAAAACAAATGAGACACAAATTCAGAATCTTGTTTCAATAACACACAAATATCATCCCCAGAAATATGTTTTATTCCATCATAAATCTGACCATCATAAATCTGACCCAAACCAAGCTGGCCGGCGACATTGTTCATTATACCAGCTGAACAGCGATTCCACAAAAGTTGGAAAACGCCCGCTCTTGGTACGCAGGTGGCGCTCGTGAGCAACCGAAATAGGATTTTGCATATTTTACGTCAGAGAGAGCAACAATGTTTCATGTCATTGGAGAGAGCAAGTCGACTTAATCATATCAGTATATTGGTTTATTTCGACTCCACAATCAGCACCACAGAAGATGAAATATTTGACAAAAATCAAATACATAAGAACTGAATATAAAATCAGGATAGAAAACAAACCTCAAAGTAAGGTTTAAAGCGTACGGAATTTGAGTTAGATGGTGCGGCAAATTTTTATTTTATTTAATTCGTTTGTATAGTTTTTTTTGTTTACTAGGTTACTAGGTAAGTGATTCAATACTTTTGAGTTAGTGAACACTTACCACTTTTTCTGACAACACCTTCCAAACCAAAATATGCACGTTTTAGTTTTCTGTAATCAGTTCTATTTATTGGACACGTTTAGTGGACATAACGATCGTTTTGTTGTTATTGGACACGTAGTGGACATAACGATCGTTTCAATATTATTTGGTCTTGTTGTTGTTCTTTGACACTTTTTGGACATCTAGTGGAAAATCTAAAAATCCGCTTTTCTCTTTCATTACTGGACCGATTGCTTCGAAATTTTTACTGGTTAAAGATGAAATCTTTCTTCAGAAGGCTATTACTTTTATTTATTTCAAATATTTCTGTTAGCTCTGTGAGATTTGTTTTTGTTTGCTATGACGTCACCAAACGTTCTGCGGACGCATAGCCGACACTCCTCTTCTTTTTGATCACGTGCCATCGAACGTCGATGGTTCGTAACGAAGTCCTTACGGTACTTTGCTACGATTTTTTCCTTACGCTGTCTTACTACGGTACCGGTACTGTACCGTACAGTATTGCAATAATGTTGGTTTTCTTTTCTGCGGGGACGTTACCGTACCGCCTTAGCGAAAGTTGGAGGCCTACTGTACTGCTTCGCTTGGTGTGAATATATTTGTAGACTGTAATCTGACGGTACGGTAAACCGTACTGTACTGCGAACAGACATGTCCATATATTTGGGCGTAGCTCTCTTGTGTTGTTCTTGTTGTTCTTTGCTACTTTTTGGACACCTAGTGGAAATAATAAAAAACCGCTTTTCTCTTTGATCACTGGACCAATTGCTTTGAAATTTTTAGTGGTTAAAGATGAAATTTTTCTCCAGAAGGCTATTACTTTTATTTATTTCAAATATTTCTGTTAGCTCTGTGAGATTTGTTTTTGTTTGCTATGACGTCACCGAACGTTCTGCGAACATCGGACGCCATTTTGTGTCCTACTGTACTGCTTCGCTTGGTGTGAATATATTTGTAGACTGTGATCTGACGGTACGGTAAACCGTACTGTACTGCGAACAGACGTGTCCAAATATTTGGGCGTAGTTCTCTTGTTTTGTTTATCAGCTGCTATGCTAATTATGGAGTCGAAATAAACTTATACTTTTTCCAAAAATAAATGATACGTGTTCACATGACAGTCATTGGCGTTCACTCACCTAAAAGAGTTAAATTAAATCATACATATTCACACGAACACAGCTGAATTGTTGAATGATAATGGTATGTTGGGAAAGTATCACCGCTAAAATGAAGCCATGTTATTATTTGAATATCTCACCGATGGCAAACAAGCGCAGCCTTGTTATTAGAGCCCATTTGGGATAATTTATGCTGAAGTCAATGCCATGTAAAAATCATTGTATTAAGTCGTAATTTAACTTTGTTGCTCTAAATGTAATATGTACCGATTTGCATGTGAGCATATTTCTGGATCGCAAAATTTCATTTAAAAATTTCGGGTCGTTTAAACAAGAGAGCTGTGCCCAAATATATGGACACGTCACAAGGTGTCGCTATTTTTTTTATTATGACACATAAAAAACGAATCTCTTGAAATCCACAGACATTTTTGAAATGAGTAAAAGTAATAGCCTTCTGGCAAAAAAATCAATCTTTAACCACTGAAAATTTCAAGGCAATTGGTCCAGTATTCGAAGAGAAAAGCGATTTCATCATGACGAAAGAGAAGAATAATACTAACAAGAACAACAACATAATATTGAAACGATCGTTATGTACACTGACGTGTCCAAAAATGGGCGGGAGCCACTCGTCTACTATGTTAACATCTGAATTTACATTATGTGACACCGATCATGCGATTGCATTCTTTCTCTCTCTCTTCATCGACCGGGGTTCGGCTGCTTCTCGGTTATGTCTGGCGCTTCTGCTGTTTGAGAGCTGAGTTTGCTATTTTCAATAAAAAACGAATTCGGAATCTTAGGTCTTCTAATCTAACAGTCACAGTAAGAAAAGATTAAACTGTGACAATCGCGAGCATGACAGGATTTGGTCAAAAACCACTTATACAATATATAACGGTTGCTAAATTGAATGTCGATTTTGTAAGAAAGAGTGAATAGCAAGGGGAAATGTTCATTAAGAAGATGTGCTATCGCCGAGCATATTATGGCTGGAGTCAAATGCCGAATTGACAAGCCATAGTTGGGTAGATGAAAAGGTGGGATAGACCAGTTAATCGACCAAATTATTGTCCAGATTTTAACAAGATGTTACCGGTAACATTCTAAAGCAGGGCTACTCAACTGGCGGACCGCGGTCCAAATCCGGACCTTTCGGGTATTCGATTCGGACCGCGCATAATTCTTTATTTTGGGTCATTAGCCCCACTTTTAATATTTCCTTTTAAAAAAATCACTTTTATAGTTTTAAAAATATATATGAAAAGAACTATAACGCCATAACAAACAATCTTGATTAGCTAATAATCATTAGTCGGCAGAGGAATTGCATGTTTAAGGATGCCGAAATATAATTTCTGGAAAGTCCAGACCCAAATATTTTTGGAGTTTTGTATGTGGACCTTCGGTAAAAATAGTTGAGTAACCCTGTTCTAAAGTATAATTAAACTAGGGCAGTACGGCACAGAGGTAGGATATGGGAATATATTGACTATCAAGGGTGTACCCGAGGGCTTTTTTAATTTGTAGACATCGAGTTTAGGCAAGGATATAGGAATTAAGGTTGCTATTTCACACGATCACTTCGAAAGTAACATGAAAGATTCATTCGAGTCCGTAAGTTTTTTTGATGCAAGCTTCATTTGATTTTGAAGCAACCTGGGAAACGAAAAACAAATCTGCGAGTATGTGTTTCAATGATTGCATAGGAGGGAACATGTTGAACTATTCTTTTGAAACAATGAAATCGTTCAATAAGTGGAGGGGGATTATTGAGAATTTGAAGAATTAGAATTTTCATTCACATGAAAATAGCAATGTGCGAGTGAGAAGTGTCCCAGGTTTTTGCGATGGACCATAAACAAGAATTATATTTGCCTCGAAGTTTGATATTAATTTGCTTCAAAACTATCAACACATTCTGGCTAATTCCCTGCAAAAATATATATCATTTTCAATATTTGAAAACTGAAAATGAACTTAACTTCTTTCTGACAAAATTTGTTATCTTCAAACACAAGGGAGAAAATTCACCAATGATAGATATGAACAAATCGGAATTACTTATTCGGTTGGACGTGTTTTGGGGGTAAGTATGTCGTCTAAGCAGTTGGTAACGTATTATTATAAGTTATAAACTAATGATAATACTGTCATTTCATCATACCTTCAACCTGAAGTATATTAAACGATTTAAAGTAATGGTCTACAGTACTTTCTATCTCATAAGTCTCCGACTCCGACATAAGTCTCCAACACTTTTTGAACTTTATTGACGACGCGGGCTACAAACCAACAAATTAGGTACAAAATTGATATAGCAAAAATAACAAGAGAAATCTGAATGTA